AGATAGATCACCAGACGCTGGGAGCAGTCATTTGAGGACATTGAAAAGAAGAAGAGGAAAAAGAAGAGGGAGGGAGAAGGGATAGGGAGGAAGGGGGGGGGCTACGACTGCCTGTCAGGTTTCAGAGCTGAGTCAGTTCTCAGAGCTGGAACCCGCTGACTAAGGAGGAAGCCATGTCTTTGGTAGAAAGAGCCCTGCGACATCTCAGCAAGCAACCATGGCTGGGGCACCTCTCCCCCTCCCCCGCAGAGCCCAGCACGCGTATATTGAGTCACTGTGCACTGAGTTCAGGAGAACGTGCTACCTTGAAACAGCTGTGGACACGGTGACAGCCAGGTTACCACAGTGTCAGCCCGGGGCCCTTGGGAGGGTAGAAGGATCCAGCAGTCAGGATGTTAAGTCAGCGTCTCAGCCAGAGTTGGGCTTAGCATGGGTTGGCTGGCCTGTGAACCCACTTGGTGGGCTGCCTTAAGTCATGTGTGTGTGTCTGTAGGTGTATCTATGGCTACCTCTCAAAAGAAATACAACCCGATTCAAAAAGGAAATCAAAATATAATTAGTGAATATGAGAATTTTACATAAAAATCCATTAAATAATGCTGACTTGCTCAACACTGCTGTTTTGAAACTTTATTATTAAATATTTCATGAAAATACAGCTATGTGCAATTCTAGTATCTGTTCTCGGCATAAAGAACAAGTATAGGGCGTCCCTCTTATTACAGCTTATCCTGCTAATAGCAACATTGAAGAGTAATAATAATCGTTTATTGTTGCAACATGTTCCTCAGTTGCCACAGGAGAATGTGGTGAAAATCATGCTCATTCATGAATGCATCAAGAACCACACACTAGAATAACAAGAAGAGAAGGAAATTGAAAGTTCAACACTGGGAAGCATCAGCGCACTGTGCGAGAATCTATTGTGCTAATGCCTTTTCTAAGGGAAGGGTTTGATGAGTTAATTAAATAGGTTGCTCTCTTGTCAAAGTGTTTCCACCACTCAAATGCCGCCTTGTCCCCAGCTTCCTGGAGCTGGCTCAGTCTCCAGTGTTGGTGTGGCACAGCCCACAGTCTTGATGATAACGGCTGCCATTTTTTTTCCTTCTTCAGTTTTATTACCCTGTAACTTGGTCTCCCTATTTCTCCCCATTTCCCACCACCACCACCACCACCTCCACCAGTCCTTGGCAACAAACATTCTACTCTGCTTCTGTGAGTTCAACCTTTTCAAAATATTTATTTATTTGAAAGGCAGAGTGACATAAAGAAGGGAGAGACACACAGAGAGAGATATTCTACCCTCTGGTTCACTCCTCAAGTGGCTACAATGGCTGGGGTTGAGCCAAACAGAAGCCAGGAACCTGGAACTCCATAAGGGTCTCTCATATGGTTAGCAGAGGCCCAAGCACTTGGGCCATCTTCCAGTGCCTTCCCAGGAGCATTAGCAGGGAGCTGGATTGGAAGTAGAGCAGCTGGGACATGACCCAGTGCTCCTACATAGGATGCTGGAATCATAGGAAATGGCTCAATCTGCTGTACCACTGCACAGTTCCCTCTTTGAAATAGTTCTTTCACTTCTGGATGTATCCTCAGAAGTGAGATTGTAGGATAACATGGTAATTGTAGTTTTAATGTTTTTGAGGACCCACCATGCCATTTTCCATAATCTACATTCTCACCAATAGTGAATACACATTCCCTTTTCTCTGCATTCTCACCAACACTTGTTAGTGATGCTGAGCAGGTTTCCATACACCTGTTGGCCATTTGTATGGTGCTTTGCCCATTTTTTGATTTGGGCTATTTGGTTTTTTGCTACTGAGTTTCTTGTATACTTCAGATATCAACCCTATTTTCAGGTGCATGGTTTGCAAATACTTTCTCCTATTCTGCAGATTGCAAATACTTTGTCTTATTCTGTAGACTGTGTTTTCACTTTGCTGGCTGATTCCTTTCCTCTGTAGAAGCTTTTGATTTTCATAGAATACCAATTTATCTATTTCTTGCTTTTATTGCTTGTGATTTGGAATCATATGCAAAAATTCCTTGTCCAGGTTAGTGCCAAGAGCTTTTCATATGTTTTCATAGTTTTAGATTGTACCCTTAAGTCTTTAATCCATTTTAGGTTGATTTTTGTCTATGTGTGATATAAGGATCTAATCTCATTCTGTTGCATGTAGTTATATGCAGTTTTCCAAGAAAAGACTTGGAGAGACTGTCTTTTCTCTGTGGTGTGTTCTTATTATATTTATTGAAGATTTATTGACTATAAATACAGGAATTTCTTTCTAGTATCTATTGTGTTCTCTTCTATCAGTATGTCCATTTTTATCTCAATATCTTACTCTTTTGATTACTATAGCTTTGCAGAATATTTTGAAATCAAGTAAGGTGGTGCCTCAAATTTTGTGCTTTTTTTTCCTTCAAATTGTTTTAGCTACTTGGTTTCTTTTGTGGTTGCATACAAATTTTAGTATTGTTTTATCTATCTCCATGAAAATGTCATTGGAATTTTGAAAAGGATTGCATTGAATCTATAGATTTCTATGGGTAGAATAGACAGTTTCACAGTGTAAATTCTTCCAATCCATGAACATGGTATATCCTTTGTACCTTGTTCCATTTATTTCACCACTGTCTTAAACTTTTTAATGTTCAGGTCTTCTTTTTTTAAAGTTTTATTTATTTATTTATTTAAAAGGCAGAGAGACAGAGAGAGAGGAAGACAAAAAAGGATTGTCTATCTGCTAGCTCATCCCAAAATGCCTGCAGTAGTCAGGGGTAGGCCAGGCTGAAGCCAGGAGTCAGGAACTCCATCCTGGTTTCCCATGTGGGAAGTGTAAGGAACCCAAGTACATGAGCCATTGTCCATTGCCTCCCAGGATGCAAGTTAGCAGGAAGCTGGATTGGAACTGTGGGGTAGCCAGGACTTGAATTGGGCAGCCCCATATCAGATTCAGGAATCCCAAGTGGCAGCTTAGCCCACTCCAGCATACAGATCTTCTACCTCCCTGGTTAACTTTATTACTAAGTCTGTATATACTGAATTTGTGTGCTGATTTTACATGCTGATTTAAATCACCTGCTGTTTGTCTTGAGCACACAGAGAAAATGGTGTGGAAAAGCAGGTGTCTGGGGTAAGACTGGTGAGAGGCTGTGTAGGGAAGTGGTAGCTTTTACACTGTCACATGCTGCTCATGGAGTCCCAAGTAGCCAAGTGTTCTTTTTTTTTTCTTTAAGAAAATATTTATTTATTTTGAAAGAGTTACACACAGAGAGAGAGAGTGAGATCTTGTTTCCATAGTTCACCCCCTAGATGACCACAATGGCCAGGACTAGGTCAGGCCAAAGCCAGGAGCTTCATCTGGGTCTCCCATGTGGGTAGCAGGATCCCAAGCACATTGGCTACCATCTGCTGCTTTTTCCAGGCCATTAGCAGGGAGTTTGATTGGAAGTAGAGCTGCCAGAACAGTAACACGCTCATATGGGATGCTGGCATCACAGTCTGCAGCTCTACTTGCTATGCCACAATGCTGATCCCATCCACATGTTCTTTAATAAATGTGTGAGTGCCCAAGTAAAAGTCCTTCATGCTGAAAGTCTAATGATGGTACAGAGGCATTCATTTTTAGTTTTTTAAAGGTTAATTTATTTGAAAGGCAGAGTTACAGAGAAAGAGAGAGAGAGAGAGAGAGAGAGAATATCATCCATTCACCAGTTCACTCCCCAGACGGTCACAATGGCTGGGTCTGGGCCAGACTGAAGCCAGAGCTCCATATTGGTCTCCCATGTGGATGCCCAAGATCTTGGGCCATCTTTTGCTGCTCTCCCAGGTGCATTAGCAGGGAGCTGGCTGGAAAGTGGAGCAGCTGGAACTCCAACTGGGGCCCCTATGGGATGTCGGAGTTGTAGGCAGTACCTTAACCCACTGCACCACAACACTGGTCCACATTTATTGTTAAAGGTTTATTTATTTAAAAGGCAGACTGATAGAGGGAGGCAGAGACAGAGAGAGGGGGGATCTTGCCACCAGCTGGTTCACTTGCAATGGCTGCTGTAGTCAGGGATGGGCCAGGCCAAAGCCAGGAGGCAGAAATTGCATTCAGGTCTCCTACAGGGATGGTAGGGCCCAAGTACTTGAGCCATCATTGGCTGCCTTCCCAGGCGCATTAGCAGGGAGCTGCATCGGCAGTGGAGTGGTATGGAATGCAGGTATTGCAAGCTGAGGCTTAACCCACTGCACCACACCGGCTCCCAGAGTCAGACTTTGAGACTGTACAATTAGGGCAGCTCTGGCTCCTTCCATGGTGTCAGCAGGGGCTGGATATATGAGCAAACGATCTCTTGGGGCCTTGGCGACAACCCTTTCCTAGTGGACAAACATTCATGATCTGGGGAGAGGTTGAGACAGCACGGGGGTCCATGCCTTCCACTTCTCCAGGACAGACCGGTTTAAGTCCTGGGACACGGAGGGTTTCCCAGGAGTGTCACGGAAGGCCAGCTCTTTTTCTGGAAGGCAGGACAAGCTAATCTTAGGGGATGACAGCCACCCAGGATAGATGGTAGCGAAGGGTCTGCAAGGGCACCGCGGGGACTGCTGGGAGAGAGAGAGGCGCCGAAAGGGGCTGCTGGGAGTGAGGGAGGCCCCGCGGGGACTGCTGGGAGTGAGGGAGGCGCCACAGAGACTGCTGGGCGTGAGGGAGGCGCCGAGGGGGCTGCTGGGAGTGAGGGAGGTGCCAAAAGGGGCTGCTGGGAGTGAGGGAGGCGCCGCAGGGACTGCTGGGCATGAGGGAGGCCCTGCGGGGGCTGCTGGGAGTGAGGGAGGCCCCGCGGGGGCTGCTGGGAGTGAAGGAGGCGTCGCGGGGACTGCTGGGAGTGAGGGAGGCGCCAAAGAGACTGCTGGGCGTGAGGGAGGTGCTGAAAGGGGCTGCTGGGAGTGAGGGAGGCGCCGCGGGGACTGCTGGGAGTGAGGGAGGCGCCGCAGAGACTGCTGGGCTTCCAACTGCGGCCCTGAGCTGGGCACTGAGGACAGGCAAGCCGCAGGGTCGTGAGCGAGGGTTGCTGAGGAGGGCAGTGAGCCAGGGAAGCCTCCAAGGACCACGCAGGGAAGGGTCAGTAATGGCGGTGCTCAGTGCATCTCGGGAGGGGGCAGGAGCAAGCCCTGAGAGAAGCAACCAGGGCAGGGTGACCCGTGGCCATCTCAGGGGAGAGAGAGGATGGTGGAGGGAGGTGCCGGGCTATGAGGACGGTGGGCTGCGGCGTCCTGGGACTTGTGACTGTGGCTGGGCGCCTCTCGGCCCCTGCAGGTGGAGGGAGGAGGCGAGGAGAGCCCCTCGATGGTGGAAGGCTTAACAGGGGGCTCCAGATGCAAGTGGCGGCCCTCTGAGCGTGCAGAGAGGCGGGCGGGGCTGCTCCGTGGGGCTGGGCTGGCAGTGACTCCACGCGGGAGCTGAGCGGACTCCGCCTGGGCTCTGCCTGTGGCCCCTGCAAAGCCTGCGCTGGGCAAGGGGAAGCCATCTCCTGGTCGGTCTCCCTAGGACTCGACGGACACAAATGTTTGCCTGTTTTTTCTAAGATTTATTTATTGATTTGAAAGTTAGAGTTACACAGAGAGAGAAGGAGAGAGAGGTTTTCCATCCAGCTGGTTCACTCCCCAGATGGCCCCAATGGCCGGAGCTGGGCCAGATGGAAGCCAGGAGCCAGGAGTTTCTTCCAGGTCTCCCACGTGGGTGCAGGGGCCCAAGGACTTGGGCCATCTTCTACTGCTTTCCCAGGCCATAGCAGAGAGCTGGATGGGAAGCGGTGCCCAGAGGGGATGCAGGCACCACAGGTGGCGGCTTGTGCACCGCGCCACTGCTGCAGCCCCTTTCCAAAACATTTGAGGTCCTCGGGTTGAACCTGGCGACACAGAACCCAGCGACACGGGGAGGCCGGCTGCACCTGCACATTCCTGCTCTTACGGTACTCGACGTTTCTTGTCTCCCTTGAGCATCAGCAGATAAAATCCTCCCCCGTCTCAGAACATCCGTCACCTGGTTGAACTGAAAGAGAAATCAGACATTATGTGGCAAAGTCGCATCTCCTGCCTTCTGCCCGTTTTTGAGATGAGGGACCCGAAGTCTGTGGCGGGCGAGGCCGCGGCTGACCCGGCTCAGACCCACGCTGCGGCCCTGTTGCCTCCCCTGCCCGGAGTCTTGGCCTGGAGGTGATGGAGGCCCCAGTGAAGTTAATTGGGAGACATCATGGCTGGGTCTGGGGCTCTTGGGGCAGCGGGTGACCCTCAGGCCTCCCAGGGTGGAAGCCGGTCTGGGAAAACACAATCACACGGGGTATCTCAGCAGCAGCAAAGCGTGGCCAGAGTGGAGGAGGCCAGCTCTTGACCTTGGCAGCCCTGACTAGGGCTTCCTGACCTCACGTGGGAGGCGGCCCTTCTCACATCACCCCCTTCCTGCGCCTCGCAGCTGGGGGTGGGGCTTGTCCTTTGGATTCCTGCCATAGTCCACACCCCCTGCACAGGCCTGGCCAGGTAGAACCTGTCTCCATCCAATGGCTTACTGCATGCCAGGACTGTCACTTTGTCACCTGGAACTTCCTGAGTTCTGCTTTCGTAATGGAATACAAGAGTCCTTTGTTCCCAAGAGCTTTGGTGTTAACCATTCGCCTGTGTGGGTCATGGATCTGGCCCAAGGCTACACGTGGAGGGCGCTGAAGGATGCTGGGAGTGTGGCCCCTTGAGAACATGGGCTCAGTGGGGTGAGGACATGGACTTGACCTGCAAAACTTTATCGTGATGTCACTCTGGGCCGAACCAAACGTGTTTGTGGGCCACATGGCGCTACACGAGCCACTATTGCTATTTTATTTATTTATTTAATTTTTTTTCACTATTGCTGTTTTTTAAAATAAGCAGACACTTGAGGGAGCCTCAAAGTTTATGGAAAATACATACTATGAAAAAACCATGGATGGATTTCAACTTTTTTTTTTTTTGCACCAAAATAAATATATGCTTCAGAAATTTTTTATTAGGCAGTGAGAGAATGAAAGAGAGAGAGAAAGATCTTTTATCTGTTGGTTCACTTCCCAAATGCTTGCAATGGCCTGGCCCAGGCCTGGGAACTGGAACTCAACCTGGGTGCTGCACATGTGTGGCAGATACTCAAGTACTTGAGCCACCACCGGTTGCCTCCAAGGGCACACAGCAGGAAGCTGGAATGGAGGAGAGGGAAGTTGGGGCTCGGGCCCAAGCACTCTGATATAGGGTAGCAGCTTCACTGCTGTAGCACAGGCCTGCTTCAGTTTAAATCTGTTTTTTTTTCCCCCCCACACACTTTTGGAAATACCCTCTTACAGACCTGAATTCATCATACTCCCTGGTTCATGGCATATGCCATCATTGGGCCACGCACAAACTCTGTGGCACTCATTCGTTCAGGGATCCGTGGCAGCGTCTGGAATATAAACCCATGGTGCTACTTCCTAGTGCATTTCAGTGGAAGACGATGTCTCAGCAGTCACTGTCTCTGTGGCCCGTAAACACAGCAAGTTTTTTCTCTGCTGTAACACAGTGGCACACTCACAGAACAGGCTCCAGTGGGAAAGCGCCTGGGTCTGTATCTAGGCTGTACCCTTGACCTCAGGCAAATTACTTTGTTTCTCTGTGCCTCCTTTTTCTCACTTTCCCAGTAGGGGTTACACCTGTGTCTGCCTTGTAGGTTGCTGAATAAAATCAGGGAGAAACCCTGTGAACAGTAATTAGAACAGTGGCTATCCTGCAGAAAGCCGTTAAAGCCTGCTAGGGCCAGAGGAACTTCTCCGTCCATCTCATGCCACCGGTGATGCACGAATTGGGCAGTCATGGGAAAGAAAGCAAAGCTCAAAAACAAGGTCAGGACTCCTGACAACCCAGCAGCATCCGGGTCAGGCTGGAGAGTCAGACACACAGCTTCTTTCCCAGAACCACTTTCTGTAGCTTTTAGCAGGACCTTGGCACGTGGTTTCAGCTGGCCATGGTAGTGCAGGTTGCTGGGTCCACCCTCAGTTTTGACTTCAGCAGGTTGGAGGGAGAGCATTGAGGATTTGTTTGCCTAATGAGTTTCCTGGCCACGCTGCTCCGGGACCACACTCCTAGAAGCATTTGTGTAACTACGGTGGTGGGGGCAAGTGCTGGGCTTAGCTACTGAGATGCCAGGTGAAGTGCCCGCTTCCTACTTTGGAGGGCTTGGGTTTGAGTCCTGGCTCTGGTTCCTGATCCAGCTTCCCGATACTGTGCACCCTGGGAGGTAGCAGGTGATGGCTCAAATAATCGGGCTCCCACCACCCACGTGGGAGACTCGGATTGTGTTCTTGGCAGCTCTTGGCTTCTGCCTTGGTTCCAGCCCTGGCTATTGTGGGCATTTGGAGAATGAACCATCTGGTGGCAAGTCTTTCTCTGTCCTTCCAATATAAAAAAGTGTACTCTATGATGGAGGATGAACCTCCAGGCGTAAGTTAAGCATCTGGCAGATGGAGGTGTCAGAGTGCCCCGGTCGTCCTGGGCCTCCATGGCCAGGTAAGAAGTATGGTGACCTCCTGGAGTATGGTGGAGACCTGGAAGAAACAAGATCAGAATCAGGAACAGCATCCAGGGCTGTTCAAGGGGGATCCCAGATCCAAAGGAGAGGTGACAAGGACACGATGCCAGCCACAGCCTCTACCCTCGGCACAGTGAGTTTTTTTTTTTTTTTCCCTTGATACTATTTTTCAAAGTAGAGATTGAGACCCATGATGGCTGGAGGTCAGGAGATGAAGTCGTGGACTGCAACCAGCATTAAAACAAAACAAAAAAAAAAAAAACAGGAAAATGAACCAGAAGAAAATGGCATTTAAAAAAAATCAGAGTTTGTTGAACATACCAAGGGTATGGTGTCTTCAGATTTGTTTCAGGTTGGTGTGGGTCCACACATGAAATCCACCTGGAACACGCGTGTAGGCTTCAGTATGGAAGATCTGGAAGCCAGGGCTGTGTTTGTGGAACCAGCAGGGCTCTCCCCCACTGCAGCAACCATCCTAAGCCCCAACCCTGAGGCTCCGACGACCCCAACACAGAGAGGAAGTGCTGAGGGGAGGGGAGAGAGCCAGCCGAGTCCTTGTTGGGACGTACGAAGATGGCTTTCAGCTTGACCTTGTAAGGTGCTAGCACCAGGGACGAGACACAGTGAGAAGGTGTTAGGAAGCATGGGGATGCTGGAGAGCAGGTGTGAGGTCAGTAACGTCTAAGAGAAATCCAAGGGGCAGGCATGGCGGTGCAGTGAGTTAAGCCACTGCCTGTGAAGTCAGCATCCAGATTTGGCTCAAGTCCCAGCTGTTCCAGTTCCAACTGGGCTTTCTGTTAATGTACCTGCAAAGGCAACAGAAGACGGCCCAAGTACTTAGGCCCCTGCCAACCCTGCTTGGGAGACCTGGATGGAGTTCCGGGCTCCTGGCTTAGGCCCTGGGCCAGACCTGGCTCTAGTGGCCATTTGGGAGTGAACCAAAGGACAGAGGATCTCTCTTTGCTTTTCAAGTAAATAAATCAATTAAACAAAAAAGAAGAAATCTGAGGCCCAACAGATACAAAACCCAAATAGAACTTGAGGAAGCCCCTAAAGAGGAGGCAATAAGTTCAAGCTACAGAGGAGGAAATCGGCCCCACCTGGGACACTTGGAGGCTGCCAGCCCTCTGTTTTCCAGGACATTTTGAGATCTACACGCACTGGCTCCCGGGCTCAACTTCACACTTTGTGTACGTCAGGGAGTCAGCACACGTTTCACAAGACAGCAGACTAAGAGATTGTGACGACAGCGGTGTGGCCTCCTCAAACCTTGTCCTAATTTCCCACAACCCTCCACCAGGTGGGAAGCACCTGTGAGTTAGAAACCCAGCATCAGCCAGCGCCGCAGCTCACTAAGCTAATCCTCTGCCTGTGGTGCCGGCACCCCGGGTTCTAGTCCCAGTTGGGGCACCAGTTCTGTCCTGCTTGCTCCTCTTCCAGGCCAGCTCTCTGCTGTGGCCCGGGAGTGCAGTGGAGGATGGCCCAAGTGCTTGGGCCCTGCACCCCATGGGAGACCAGGAGAAGCACCTGGCTCCTGGCTTCAGATTGGCGCAGCACCGGCTGTAGTGGCCATTTGGGGGGTGAACCAACAGAAGGAAGACCTTTCTCTCTGTCTTCTCTCTCTCACTGTCTAACTCTGCCTGTCAAAAAAAAAAAAAAAAAAAAAGAAAGAATAGCATCTCCAGTCTACTTCCTTGCAAATCTTCAGCAAGAATTTTCACAGCACTCTAATTGGACTGAGTTTGGCATTCAAAATGCTACTTTCTGGAGCTGGTGGTGTGGCATAGCAGGTAAAGCCACCACCTGCAACACTGGCATCCTATCTGGGCGCTGGTGCGAGTCCCGGCTGCTCCATTTCCAGAAAGCGGCAGGGTATGTGGCAAGTGCTTGGGTCCCTGCACCCCTGTGGGAGGCCTGGAAGAAGCTCTTGGCTCTTGGCTTTGGCCTGGCCCAGCCCAGGCCGTTGCCATTTGGAGAGTGAATCAGTGGATGGAAAATCTCTCTTTCTTCCCCCCTCTCTCTCTGCCTTTCAAATAAAATACATCTGTACATGAGAAAAAAAAAGTTACTTTCTTTGTAAGATCTGGGACTGCGCTTGAACCTGAAGGCTCCTGTGTTGAGGCCTCATTCCGTTCAGATCGTCACGTTTAATAGAGGAAGAAGCTGAGTGCGCAGGCTCCCTGCTCAGGGACACAAAGAGCACGCAGTGGCCATACTCAGACCCAGCGGCTGCTGTTCCAAGGGCTCCTTCGCAAAAGCTTCTCCTCAGAAGCTTCTAGCATTTCAGGCACAGGATATTCAACACTCGGCTTTGTACCTGTGACAGTACCCAGGAAGCACCAGCCGCCTCGCACCATGGAGCTGAGCTTTGAGAACAGAATTTTCTATTCTTTTCCATGGAAAGGAAAACTTTGTGTTTAAGCAATTTCCAGAAATGCCCAGAGAAAAATGAATGGCAATCAAAAAAAATAAAAATAAATAAAGATGTATACTGTATGAGAAAGCTTTTGTGGGGCTGGCGTTGTGGGTCAGCAGGTTAAACCACTGCCTGTATGGGCACACCTGTTCAAGTTCCAGCTGTTTGACTTCCAATCCAGCTCTCTGCTAATGCGCCTGGGGAGGCAGCGAAAGATGGCCCAGGTGCTTGGGCTCCTGCTACCCAAGTAGGAGACCAAGATAGAGTTCTAGGCCTCCAGGCCGCTGCGGCCATTTGGGGAGCCAGCCAACAGATTGAAGATTTCATTCTGTTTCTCCCTGTCTCTGTCACTCTGCCTTTCAAATAGAATAAAGCTTTTGTGGCCCTCTTTCCCTCAATCAATTAAATTACATTGATGTCTAATTCCTTTTTCAGCGTGGATACAAATGTAAGGTCTAGAACCTTCTACAACTTCATCGCTGATTGTACTGCAAAATTCAGTCTTGGATTTCTCTTCCTGCTCCCTACGTATATAACACCAACGATCGTATCTTATTTCCCCTCATCCACCCTGATTGAGGCAGAGAAAGGAGAAGCCGTAAGTGCTGTTGCAGATATCCACCCGGAGTGGTAATTATTGCATCATTATATTCGCTATTTTGCTTGTCATGTACCATTAGGAGGTAACAAGATCATTGTCAGTCAAAGATTGTGGAGATAATGAGAGCATCTATAGGTTAGCAGGAAATCAAATCGGTGCTGGTACCCGTCAATGCCGAGGCGCTGAATGTAATTAGAAGGAAAATATGCAAAGGTTGAATGAATAAAGCCCCGGAGATTAAATACTGTGACTGATTTGAGAACGTGACTGTGCTGTGTTCCGACACCGCAGATGGCGACGTGGAAATAGGTGTACAATGGAAGGCGGTGAAGGCTGCCAGAAATAGCAAACAGGCTGCCAGTGGTAGTGTTCAGGAGGGACCAAGGACTGCCGGATTTGGAAAAACACAGTGTCTCCTGGTTTCCAATCCAGCAGCTCTTCTTTGTTGTCTTCTGCAGCCTGGACATCAGGTATAAACATGTAATGCAGTGCCGAGTGAAGGGGCCTTTATTAAACTTCGCTGCTCTGCCTATCATTAGCCTAAGCTGCCAGGACATTGTCCAGTGGCCCGGCACTCCCCCAACACCCCTGGGGAGCTGCAGGAGTTCCCAGCCCTTCCCCCATCACAGATACAGAGCCCTCCCCCCGCCCCCAAGGCCCACTCCAACAGCCACCCACAGCCCTTCTAACCTTGACCGCTGCCCGCGATACCAACACCATTGCAAACAATCTCATCCAAACAGTGACTTCAGGTTGATGCAAGAAAGTTTAACAATTGTCTTTAAAAAAGAAAAACAAAAAAAAATTCAGAAGACAAGGAGAGGCTGGCAGTGACGAGGGATACGCCATGCGATCCTGACAGACGGGCCACGTCGAGACCGGAACAGGAAATAATCTGGATGAACGTTTAACATACAACTGACCGAGTCCACAGGCTAGAAGGCAAAGGAGCAAGCGAGCAAACACTTGGATCCCAGGTCCTACGTCAGTCAGCCCGCTCACCAATGCTGACACGGCCAAGGCTCTTGCTTTGAGTTCTGACGTAGGTTTGAGACACCAATGGCACCTGCTAACTCGGCGCACGCGTGTTCACCGACCAAAATCCCAAAGTACCTTCCCAGGACTTCTACAGCAATGTGTTCAGCCACGTACCACAAACACATTTCCACGGCCGACTGGGTAGGGCGCAAATGCTTACAGAACCTACTTGGAGGGCCACTCGCTGAGCCGGGCAGGGTGGCCGGCCACCGCGGGGGACGTCTGTTCTCACACAGGCTGCGTTGCAGGTATTTCAAGAGCCCGGTCTTGCACAAAGGCGGCTTCCTGCCCAAGGTAAGGGTGGCTATCTCACACAAACAAGCAGCTGGAAGCTTAGTTCACATTTTTTAATAACATGGCACAGTTTACATTACACAAGAAGGCTTCGCCGATGAGAACATGCTGAAGATTCAGTTGCTTCACTTTTCTTTTTCACATAGGATCTAGAAAGGACTTTATTACATACAGGAGAAACAGCAAAAAGGTCTGTATAGAACAATCTCTTTACAATACTGAAAGCTACCACTACAGTTCCAGTGTACATATTCCTCGGGTGTTTTTTTTTTTTTAAGTTGTCGTCTTTAAAAAAAGAAAAAAACAAAACAAAAACACTGCACAACATCTGGAGTTCACAAAGTCTGAAGCTCACAACTAAACCTTCAGTTTACTACTAAAATAGATCTCTGCTTATTAGAAACAATGGTCTGTAGTTAACTTTTTTTTTTTTTTGCAAAAACAGGATAACAACGTCAGCACTTTAATATACTAGAAGACCAAATGGAACTAATTTTATTTCATACATGTATTTTACAGTCCAGTAGACAAGATATATTGTATTTCTCTGCTAGTAAAGTCATATTCTCTCCAAATATGTAGACAAGAGGCTTAATGTATTATAAAAGTATTATGAAGAGACGTTAAGATTGATGCAAACTCAAAAACACACGCACACACACGACTTCTCCTCTGCCGCCTTCCGCCCGCCGCGGCCCCACGTGGCTGCCGCAGAGACTGCTGGGAGCAGACCCTCCTCCCGGGAGCGCCCGGGGCACCGCGAGGCACGCCGGGAAGTGGGTCCCGCGAGGCACGCCGGGAAGTGCCCCCCCACCGCCACCCCCGGCGCCCCGGCGGCCACACGGAAAACACATCCATCATCTGAGAAAACGGGACGCTTTCTGTCAGGATCTGTTTGGGTGTCGTGAACTCTCCTGGCGGCCGAGGCGGCGCGGGGACGGGACGGGGAGCGGGTGCCCCTCGTGAGGCGTGTGCGTGGGTGCGTGGGGGCCGCCATCCCGCCGCGCGCGCCCCCGGCCCGCTCCTCCTGGGACCCCCCGACCCCCCGACCGCGGCTCGCGTCTTCCGTGACCTTCCTGGGGCTGCAGCTCCCCCCGACCCCGACCCCGACCCCACAGCCCACCAAGCGGCAACTTCCGGTGCGGGGTGCCAGCCTGGGGTCCGAGTTGCAAAAATTGGGATGTTGCAAGAAAAAAAAAAAAAAAAAAACCACAAGCAAGGAGCCCCGGAGCCGCGTCCGGGAGGGTGACCGTGGGAAGCTGTGAGTGGGGCGGAGGCCCCGCGGGAGCGCGGACATTCATTGCATAGTTGAAGGGCGCGGCTGTCTATCGCCCCAGGGAGTCTGCAGATAGCACGTGTTAGGGTTCCTATTCCGTTACTCACTCTTTATCTATTTACATCTGTACACAGTAAAGCTTTCGTCTTACCCTTTTGCATATATGAACCAGTAGCTCATGAAGCACTCTGTGTATTTTTTTTGTATTTTTTTGTTATTATTATTTTTTTTACATGACTATGTACACGGCCTGCCCGCCTCTCTGCGTGACGGACGGACGGACGGACGGACGGCTGTCGTCTCCCTCCCCCATCAATCATGGAATCCGCGTGTGTCGTCATCTCCACTTTGGGATCAAATCAAAAAGCTTTATACAAGGAACGACAACGACAGCAAAAAAAAAAAAAAAAAAAGGGAAAAATATAAAGGAGCGGGAGACGTGAGAACAGATGACTTGGCTAAAAGGGCTGGAAAAAAATCTCAACATATAATATACAAAACCATTTCAAAATCTGCACTGAGTCTGTACATTTCGTTTTTTTTTTTTTGTACAAGGGTGGGCGGGGCCGCGGCCCGGGTGGGCGGGGCCGCGGCGCGCGGGGGCCCCGCCCCGCGCCAAGGACGCTCGCCTAGGACGCGCGGAGTTCTCGCGCACGCGCGCTGCCGAGTCTCGCGTGAGTTCGCCCGGGGCTTGGAGGGGCGGCCGCCGGCTCCGGGCTCCAGGCGCCTCTTACCGAGCTTCGATGTCCTTGAGGGTGTGGGAAGGGGGCCGGTCGCGGATCTCGGCCGACAGGGGCGTAGTCCTCCGCGGGGACACCGGGCGGCCCCCCAGCGTGGAGATGAGCGGGGGCGGCGCGCTGAGCGCCGCGGTGGGCGGCGTCTTGTTGAGGAGTCCGTTCTGGTGGCCCGCGGTGGGGCTGATGCGCGGGTAGTGCATGCTGGGCAGCCCCGGCGTGAGGAGGCCGGGGTGCGGCAGGTGCCCGTCCAGGGAGGCGGGGTGCACCGAGTGCAGCCCCCGCGTGTGCTCGTAGTCTTCGCGGAGCATGTGCAGGCGCTCGCGCTCGTCCAGGTGGCCGCCCCGCTCGTGCTCGCGCCGCGGGTCCACGCCCAGCGCCGGGTGGTGGTGGTGGTGGTGGTGATGGTTGTAGTCGTGCGGCTCCCTGTCCCGGAAGGAGCGGTCGGCCTCGTACAGCCGCGGCGCCGACAGCCGGTGCAGCGGGTCGTTGCGCAGCAGGAAGTCCCTGGCCAGCGGGTCTCTCCGGTGAATGTCCAGGTCTCGGTAGGGGTCCCGCAGGGGGTCCCGGATGGGGTCCCAGTGGAAGGAGGGGTACGGGAAGCGCTCTCCCCCCGGGATGGGGCTGAGGCCCATGAAGGGGGTCATCATGCGAGTCCTGTCCAGGCTGCTGATGCTGTTCATGGGATGGATGCCCGCCACCCCCACCGTCATGGGCATGCTCGCCAGGGGCCCCGGGTGCACGCTGGCCGAGGAGCTGGGCGGGGGCGGCTCTGCGGGCCGGTGGGCCTGTGGGGCCTCGGGCGCCACGTCATGTTCTTCCTTGCGTTCCTCCTTCACCTTGACCTCGGCGCTCTTCTTGGGGTTCTCGTAGGCCGGCTCGCCCTTGCGCGCCTCGGCCTCCCGGCTCGAGGTGCTGTTGGGCCTGGCGCTCTCCGCCACGGGGGCCCGCGCGTAGGGCGACGGCCCCCGGGCCAGCTGCTTGGCCTCTTCGCCCACGGCCCGCCCCTCGTGGCCGTGCCCGTCCTTGTCGGGCAGGTGGCCCTCCTTGGCCTTGTGTTCCTCGGCGGTCAGGTCCTTGCGGGGTTCCGAGTGGTCTCTCTCCCTCTCTTTGGGTTTGTCTTTCTCGCGAGCCTCAGTGTTCAAATGCCCCCGGATGTGTTCGGCGGAGCTGCGGCTGTGTCCCAGGGTGTTCACCGGGAGGAGAGGTGCTGGTGAAAGGTGGCTGGAGTGTCTTTTCTCAACGCTTTCCCTGCAGGGAAGCAAGGGGTGGGGGGAGACAAGGGCGCACGTGAAATGGGCTTGTCAGTCTGGCAGGGCAGCCGATGAAATGGAGGTGACGACAGGACAGGCTGGGGTGTGGCTCCCAGGGTCACTGAGGCGGCCCACGCGCCCTGGGCAGGGCCATCGGGCCGGCCACCCTGAACTGACTTACCCCGGATGTCAGAGGACTCTTCACGGGGGTGAAGTAGGAGGGATGAGGGTGAGGGGCGTAGTTTCGGGGTGGGGGTGGGGGGATAAGTCTAGTTTTACTTAAGACCCAGGTGCCTCGCTCAAGACCCCAGAGGACTTGCTTCCAGCAAGGCAGGATGGACCAAGGTAGGTAGGGAGAGAGTGATGTGGCAACACACGCCTCTTCTGAGACTCTCAAGATCAGCCAGTGTTGGGGACAACGTTCTGGGGCCCACAAGCACACATGACTTTTCCTCCAACTTTGACACACAGAGCCAGTGGAAGCAGGAGTTTAAGGTACTTCAACAAGTTCAAGGACAGATGGAATTGAAAAGCATTTTGTCGCAAAAGATCTTTGAAATCCATGCAAAATGTGCCTTCGGTCTCTGAGCCTCAGCACACAAGGGAGGTGTGGAAGGAGGCGGGAGCTTTAGTTAGGCCCACGGGGCCAAAACCCGATGAGAAGATGGAGGAAAGGCAGGTTCAACCACACAACACCTCACGGGGTAAACCGCGAGCAACTTGCAAGAATGGCCCTGAAGGAAGATGTGAACTGAGAATTCTGGAATGCTCTCTCGGATGGAGGTTTTAAGAAGACCGGGCGGAAAAGGCAAACCAATAACAAGAAGAAGATAAAACTTTCCTGGGGAGTCAAGATGCAGAATTGGCTGTCTGAGGGACAAGCCCAAGACAGACACAGTGAGAGCAGAGACCCCAAGGGCCAGAGGGGCAGAGCTGAAGAGGGCTCCCCTACAAGTTGTTCCCTGTTGAAATGTAAAGGCTGAGCAGAGGAGTCCACTTTAAAGAGACAAAGAGTATATTTCAACAAGTTTCCTGGCTGGAACCCAAGAGGCCATTTTGATTCCATCAAAAAAAACCCCAAAGAGGCCTGCTGGCCACAAGGTGCCCTCTACCCCACGAGGAACCGTCTCAGGAGAGCTCCTGGGGTGGGCTCATTCCCTGCGAGGCTCAGGCGCGCCTCACCTTGGCAGTGCCCAGCCCAGAGCTGAATGCTGTGAACCCTCGTGCTGCTTAAGAGATTTTTATCATCCTGCCTCGAAGGGAAATGTGTGTCTTCCTTATGCAAGAAAGAAAGCGGTCCATGTGATGGCTGATGAGGAGTGTGTACTAATCTACCACGTTTACAGCCTGCAAAACTGGATTCTTTTCAGTTGCTAGGGCAGACACACACACACTATAAATATATATATATACACACATATATGTATATATATAATAAATTGGTATCAGGTTCTTTCTAACAAGCATTATCTTGTGTGCCCTGCTTATCAGTTTGTTTAAAATAACGACAGCCTAAAGAAAGGGAAAAAAAGAGATATTTTGTCAAGACTGCTTGGACATTCCTCAGGAAAAAACACTACAAGACGTTCCCTCTTTAAGGTGACTTCTCTTTGTAGGCACGGCTTACCGAGTACAGGGATGGCAATGGTTAAGAGAGCCCATTACACCACCAAAACCGGAACCTCTCGCTGCTTCTAAGTCTAGCTTAGTACAACTGCATTAGTCATCCGTGAGCCCCAGGCTTTGAGAGTTTGAACAAAAGCTGAGAAAAATATGAGGCGATGCAAACATGACTTTCTAAAAGAAAACAAAACGAAAGAGAGAGCAAAACCTATGGATGGTTAAATGGACCGCACGGACTTGAAAGCAAACATGGTTCTGAGTCATGCTGTGTGTGTTGGCGCCAAAGCTCCAGCTCCCTGGCTCCTAGACAAAGAGTGGTGTGAGGACACACTAGCGCTCACGGGGGCTCGGCGTGCCCTGCAGGCCTGCCTGTGCCGGGGACAGGAATCCTGCGCCTTGCTACGTTGCCTCTGCGCTCACAAGACCCCACAGGCCAGCAGGTGCTCGCTCTGGGGCTGCTGGCTGTCACTGGCGCTGACGGGGAAGGAGCTTGGGGCCACGGGGGCGCGGCTGAAGCGCGAGGCCGGGACGGGGAGGGCGAGTGGCCGGTTGCACGGGCCGCGGCAGAGTGGGCTCCCCCATCGGGACTCGAGCGGTTTTCTTTGCGTACCTTTCTTTGTCATCTTTACTAAGAGACGAGTCCCGTTTATCTACATCTCTATCTCTGTCATGAGCTGCAGCGGACGCGCTGCGTTCCAGCTCCCCCGGCTTCAGCCAGGGCGGAGGGGTCGGGAACGACGGAGGCGCTCGGTGCAGCCGGTTCCAGGGCTCGTGAGAGTTGCTAAAGCTCTGCACACTGGGGCCATCCTTGTGGCCGAACATTGAGTTGGGTGCTGAAATGGCGAAGTGGAGAACAAAAAGGTTTAAGAGAAATTATATAATCCGCTGTAATGAAGGTACTTACCAAAAAACTTTTAACAGCATTCAGAGTTAAAATGAATACATATTATTGGGAGCTGGAAAAGGAAAGGAGATTAACAAATTCATTAGAGGAACGCTGTCCTACGCTGTCACAGCTTTTCTTTTTTAAACCACAAGCAAAAGTGGGCGTGTCGGGGGAGCATTAAAAGCAACCAAACAGGTATGAGAATCGCCTCGTGAGACAAACGTGGTACATGCAGAAGTTCTGAACATGCAGAAGGGTGTGTTGGGGTGGTGCGACTCAGAGCAGTGTCAGCTCAGAGTGGCCCTCCTGGGCTCCTAAGCCTGCTAACGCCACTGCTGCTCCAGCCAGCAAACCAAAACAGGTGTGTGTGGCCAGACAGGGCCTTGACCTCGACGCGGGACGCGGCAGTGCCCAAGGTCTCCATAAAGACCAAATGGTGCTGATTCGCCCGCGAGCTATAGTTTCAGGTTTCCTGGGCCCCCAGAGAAGGAGCATCTAGGAAAAACTAGCCGAGTGTTCATGAGTGGATAATGTTCAGAACATGAGCTGGGGTGGCCACTCGAGATTGGGGTGCGGCGTGTCCGTATGAGGCCTGGGAAATCATTTGTTCTGGTCCTGCTGAGGTAACAGCAGGTGGGGCTTGAAATCGACAGAGGGTGAATGTTTAAGTTGGTCATTTTGCATGGCTCATGAATATGTTATAAACATGCAAATGGCCCTTGGTAGAAAAAAGCCCCCTCCTTTGTTTTAGATGGACTTTTTAACTGGGGCAAACTGACAGCCCTCCCAGGTTATGGGGGATGAAATGCTGAAATGCTGCTATTTTTCAAATAAAATTTTTTTAGAATTTATTTTTATTTATTTGAAAGGCAAAGAAACAAAGACAGAGATCTTCCATTTGCTGGTTCACTCCCCAGATGCCCGCAACAGCCAGGGCCAGGCCAGGCCAAAGCTAGAAACCCAAGAATTCCATTGGGTCTCCCATGTGTGTGACGGGAACCCAAGTACTTGAGCCATTACCTGCTGCCTTGCCAGGGTGCACATTGGCAGGAAGCTGGAAATAGAGCTAGGACTTGAACCCAGGGACTCTTCTGTGGGCTGCAGGCATCCCAGTGTGCCAGAAGCCCACCCCCAAATGCTGCCAACTCCTGATTATCTGGGTCTGCTGTTGTCTGCCAGCGCTTTTTCCTTGTGTTTTTATGCTTTTATCTCACTCGTAGCAAAGGTAACATGAAACTCGAAGACTGCCTTCAATTCTAGCGGAGGTCTTGGGGAGTGGAGATGGAACGTGGGTGAACTTTGAACAGCGGCATATTTTTGCACCGATCACCTGCATTCCCATCGTGACCCTCAGAAACCTGTCTCATCAGTGGGTTTTGCGCACTTAGGGCGGAGCTCATTGCTTGGATCTGCTTTTGCGGGATTACCCAAATTTGCTTCCCAACAGCGCTTTCCTATTATCTAGAAAGGTCCTGAGCCACATAGAGATCAGAGGAGATGAAGAGTCCAAAGGCAGGTGTTAAAAGGTTAGAGATACTCACTAACTGAAGGGTTTCCAAGTCCCCCGAAGGCATTGCCGCCAACTGCCGCCAGGCCGGTGAATGTGGACGGCCGATTGAAAGGCTCTGCAGGCGAGATGGGGAAGACGGACAGGGTCACGGGCCTCTAGTGGGTGAAGCACGGCACTCCCACGGGGCCCCGTCTCCCCAGACCTGGTCTGCACAACTCCCACGGGACGGCGTGAAAGGCTCTCACTGTACTAACTACAACCGGTGAGATACTTAGGAGGGCTCTTTTTTTTTTTTTTTTTTTTTTAACAGGTAGAGTGGACAGTGAGAGAGAGAGAGACAGAAAGGTCTTCCTTTTGCCGTTGGTTCACCCTCCAATGGCCACCGCGGCCGGCGGGCTGCGGCCGGCGCACCGCACTGATCCGATGGCAGGAGCCAGGTACTTCTCCTGGTCTCCCATGGGGTGCAGGGCCCAAGCACTTGGGCCATCCTCCACTGCACTCCGGCCATCCTCCACTGTACTCCTGGGCCACGGCAGAGAGCTGGCCTGGAAGAGGGGCAACCGGGACAGAATCCGGCGCCTTGACCGGGACTAGAACCCAGTGTGCCGGCGCCGCAAGGCAGAGGATTAGCCTAGTGAGCCGCGGCACCGGCCAAGGAGGGCTCTTTATCCACAACAGTGCACCTTGCACATTTTCCGTGGGCCCAGTGGGGGCCAGTACTGGAGCCGCAATGGTCTACACTGCCCTCCTGCTCCAGGGAAGGCTTTGCAGGTTCTAACAGGTCAGAAACGAGACGACGCCTTCAGTGTCACCTCTTGTACATTTGCAGACTATGAAATAAACAAAAGCCTCAAAAAGCGTGCAGCTCTGCTAGGCAGACACGTGAATCAGGCAGGGCATGTGGTCACCGCGTCTTCCGTTTCATCTCCTAGAATGGACTTTAGCTACGGGGCAAGAGTTCACTGTCTTCCTCCACTGCGCAGGGGCAGGATGCTGCGACCTGAGGTTCTCTGAGATACCAGGATCAGCTCTCACGCACAGCACCGCCTGTCAGTCAAGTCAGGGCAGAACCACTACCGTGGAGAGCAAAGTGGCATGTGGGCTGTGACACCCTGCGCGTGGGTGGCATGTGTCAGGACCCCGAGGGACACATCACCGTGGGCGTAAGTGAGAGGTGAGATGTCTGGGGTTCCTGTTAGGTCGGCAGTGGCAGTGGGAGTGTGGCCAACCAAGCAGACGCTCGTCTGAGCCATGCGTGCCAGCTCGCACCGGGGACGGGCAACTCACCGAGGTGCGCAGCAGGGTTGAGAAAGTTGCTGTGATGAGGCGGCGGCCCAAAAGGGGTCCCGGTTGGATGTGCAGCACCTGTGAAGTCAAACATAACCACGTCAACCAACACCAAGCTGAACTGTAACAAAATCATGGTGGTGGGGGGGAAAGAGCCAGCTTTCTAGACTACAACTGGTTCCAATTTGTGTATGGACCCCCCCCACCCAACCCCAGAGACTACGTGAAAGGAAGGGCGTGGCTGAAGCCCACCCAGGCTCCTGCAGGCGCTACGCCAAGTCCAGAAAGGGGGCACTCAGTATTGGGAACACGGAGACAAGGGGCCGTGGGGAGAGCGTGCAGGTTCCACACCGAGCGAGGTTTGAACCAATGCCGGGGTAACAAGCATGAATCGAGGCTCTTCTCTGTTCTATAGTACTACAGTACTTCTTCCTTTTTTAAAATGTTAATGTTTTTGACTCTCTGCTTTAACCATTTGTTAAATAAAAGTGTTTGTTGCTGTGGGTTTAAAAAAAAAATTCCCTATGGAGAGGAACCTCTGGCCATGGGATATGTTCTTTGGGCATCCCAGGGGATATGTTTCCACTGTGAAAGAGAATGTTCCAGAATCCCCACAGCGTCTCGTCGGCTCAGGACCCTCACAGAATCCTGTGTTTGCCCTCGGCACCCAGCCCCAGGAAATGCGCGACCGTGAGTCACACGGGGTATGACCAATTGCAATGTGCCCATGTCTCTCAATTTCCAGTGCCAGGAAAAGCTAGCTACCTGGTATGTTTTCCAAACCACAAATCTTCAGCCTGGCTTTATTAGTCCTTACTTGGGCTGCCAGGGAACTGAGATCAAATTTAGCTGTCTTCTTTCCTTCGGTTCCCCCTTTAACCCACACTGGCTCCCCTACGGTATAGAGTGCCTGCCATGGGTTTATTTAGGACGCCTCAAATCCGTTCCTTGAAGGAGGCTGAGAACGGAAGGCAGGAGGCAGGGTGCCTATGCGAGTTAGGGAAGAACAGCACTTGGGAAAGCTTAGGGCATCCAGTGGGCTCATACAGCAGGGCTAATGGCGGAAGAGGCGGCTCACTGGGAGGCACGTATGGCTCCAAGAGGAGAGGTTTGCCAAGGTCATCCGGAGACGCCTCTCTGTTTATGCAGGCTTTAGTACCCATGGCAAGATGAAAGCGGCTGAATTTAACAAGCGATGTGCGAGTTATAAATACCGGCTACAACTCTTTAACCAAATAACCATTTTGGGTAAAATCCAACGCTGCTTATGTTAGAAAAGATTACCTTCCAGAATGCAAGCATAAACAGGGCCTGGATTAATGAATTTACTAATTGCTGTTGCATAATCCCATACATTTTCTCTCTGATCCTATAAACAAGTGTAAAAGCCCTCAGGGAAACAGACTGCACGTCCAGTGATTCAAGTTATGTTCTGGACCACGGCTCCTGGGGCTGCAAGGGTCTCGCGGGCCTGGCATTGTATGGAGGAAGCCACAAAAGTGAGGAGAGGCGTCGGTCACAGTCTGAATTTGAAGGCACCTGGGGGAGTTGTCTCGAGCCCTAGATGGGAGCCTCTCTTCCAGCGAGGAAGTGAAAAAAAATGACATCCCTGCCCCACAAAGTGAATATATCTTGGGATATTCATTACGCATCACCAGTGTTGCCAGCTAAGTAGAATGTTGGCCACATACTGTCTGTGTAGTACAAGCTAATTAATGCTTCCATGAAGACCAGAGCTTTGCTCAGCCCAGGGGCCCCAGGGATGCTGGCAGTTCCAGAATTATTGAAGCAAAAAAAAAAAAAAAAAAAAAAAAAGCCAATTCATCCAGTTGGCTCAAATGGGAGCCAGGGAGAAATCTCTCTATTTCTCTCCCAAAATTGCTCTTAATGTAGGCCTGTCTCGGGGCCTCGGTGCCATGGCAACAGGGCCTTCAGATGTGTCCCTAGACAGACGGATGGAGAGAAACTCAAGACCTCAGCAAATCCATCCACCCTCCAGGGGCTTCCTTAGCTCTGGCAACGAGGCCTGTTTTCAGGATGATTTCTTGCAATGGGGTGTTTCCCTCTTCCTGAACGGAGGTGCCACGGGTCCACCGAAAGTGAGGCGTGGATACAAGCCTGGGGGAAGCAGCGGGCAGGATGGATGTGCAACTCGCTTCCTAAGGATCACGGAGCGGGAGCCCTTGACTGTTTACGACCAGAAGGAGGAATTCGACGTGGCACCGGGAGCACGAAGTTAGGGAGCTCAGTATTCTCGCTTCTGAGGATTTACTGAGCCCAGCTCTGTGCTGGGGACGGTGTATCAGGACTCCAGAGAGCAAGAGGGTCGCCCTCATCTACCCCAGACTCCTCCTCCCACCGCCTTGGTTTGTGCGTTCTTGGAGCAGAAAGGAGCAACTCTCTGATGCGCTGCTCCTCACTCCCGGCGGCCACATACCCAAGAGACATTTGGAAGCCTGTGTTCTCAGAGGTTAAGTGAATTATAGAGACCTGATGAACAGGTCACAGATCTGGTGAACAGAATATGGTCCCCTAGGTGTCTCCTATCGCTACAGCCAGCTGGGTGTGAATATGAAGTTCTGCAGCTGAGAAAGCCAGGAGCCAAGTGGGCCTCCCTCCCTGTCACAGCCCACACCGCCGGCCCCTTTCATTGCATTTCCTTATCCTCAGACCCTCAAAGCACGGCAGGACATGACGGTGCAAAATTACTGAGCGCTGCGTGGGCTCCCAGCGTACGGGCAACTGCCTCCGTACGTCATTCCTGGCGTTGCTTCCTTCTGAGCCACTCTTGCAAACTTTCTGATCTTTTTCAATAGTGTTTGGCATCCTTGTGAATGACTTTTTTTTTTTTTTTTGACAGGCAGAGTGGACAGTGAGAGAGAGAGAGATGGAGAGAAAGGTCTTCCTTTGCTGTTGGTTCACCCTCCAATGGCTGCTGCGGCCGGTGCACCGCACTGATCCGATGGCAGGAGCCAGGTGCTTCTCCTGGTCTCCCATGGGGTGCAGGGCCCATGCACTTGGGCCATCCTCCACTGCACTCCCTGGCCACAGCAGAGAGCTGGCCTGGAAGAGGGGCAACCGGGACAGAATCTGGCACCCCGACCGGGACTAGAACCTGGTGTGCTGGCGCCGCAAGGCGGAGGATTAGCCTAGTGAGCCGCGGCGCCGACATTGGTTTAATATAGAAGCAAATTCGAGTCCCCTTAAAGGGAAAGCAACTTCTGCTTGCTGCTTCGCTGAAAGAGGGCACATCAGTGAAGGAGCGCCCACTGCCCCGGCTGGGCTGGGACGCTACCTTGCGAGCTGGCATCCACTGTACTTTCTTACGGGGGGAGGTAACGGCGGCACAGAGCCCGAACGGGACTTACTTAACTACCTGAGAGCTGCATCGTTGGCTCTCCCCCTTCTCCCTCTGAACTCACCGGCGGCAGAGAATAAAGTCGAAGGCCGAGCCAGGTCATGGGGGTGGTGGATGGCTCCGAAGAGACTGGGGCCTGGAGGGCGGCTCAGGAACTCGGGTTTCAGTCCAAAGTCCAGCTTATGTGGGTCGGACTGCATCTGTTTCTGAAGGGAATGAGAAAAAATGAAATCCCAGGATGAAAGACATAAATGAAGAGCCCGAGACTGACAGAGTAAACTCTGCAAAGGGCCCTCTGGCTTGGGCTCTGAGGCTCTCTCAGGTTCAAGTTTACAAACAACGATGGGCATGTATCAACTCACCAACCATTCAACTCTCCAATGTCAAAAAAGCAGCTTAGCCCAAGCGGAGTCAACAGTGCCCGCTGTGGGGTGGTAGTAAGTGGTAAAAACAGTGTTTCGTCTTAGGGCTTGTTAAGAATGAGCAGCAAAACCTTATCCTGTTGGCTTTGACTGCCACTGTTCCCTAAGCAGTTGATTGCTTTGCTGTAAATGCCCATTTTAGCAAATTTTAAAATGACAGTATTTTAAATCTCTTTTTATTAGGAATTCTGCACAAATAATCTGCTGTGTAAATTAATTGTTGAAAGATTCTTTGCTGTTCTCGAATGGATCACAATGCATTAGTAACGGAATGGTATGAAGAAATATTTGCAGGCCTACAAGCTCATTTCAAATAATCCTTGTCACATATTTTCCAAAAAACAAACAGAACTGAAGTGGGGCTATTCATTTAGCTAATAGGGGCCATTCTTTCTTCTCATACTCCCAGTTACTCAAAGGAAGAGGAGGTTGGTCTAGAGCAGTAACTAATAAAACCTTCTATGTTGCCAACTTCTTGCTGTTCACTGAATTCACTCTTTGCACTTTTTAAAATTTCTCTCTTTATTTAATGGGAAAGGCCGAGCAACAGAGAGAAAGAGGGAGAGACACAGAGAGATCTTTCAACCACTGTTTTACACTCCAAATGGTCCTAACAGCCAGGGCCGGGCCAGAGCAAAGCTTGGTGCCTGGAATCAAATCCTGGTCTCTCACATGGGCGGCAGGGGCCCAGGTACTCGGGCCGTGCTCCAGTGCCTTCCCAGGTGGATTAGCAGGAAGCTGCGTAAGAAACAAAGCAGCCGGGACTTGAACCAGCACTCCGACGGGAGATGCTGGCATCGCAAGTGGCAGCTCAACCCCCGGGCATCCCAACGTGTGCCTCCCGCTTCCTCTGATTTGTCCATTCTCAAGGTACTCGTTCCGGTTACTGTGCTCTAGAGCTGCCTAGAGCTGCAGAAACTGGCTCCCAGTCTCGTCTCTGAATTGGCTTCACACCTCCCCCACACAAGCACTGTCCTCTTCCTGTGGGCTGGGGCCCTGGAGTCTGAAGCTCCCGCTCACTCTTCCCTTGCGTTCCCATCTCATGCCCCTCCACTGCCTGCAGCCCGCTTATGAGTCTCTTCCAATCTCGCACTCATGGGAGGCCCATCCTTGCTCCCCCTCAAACTTCCTCATATTCTGGGTGATCCTAGTCCTGCTGTACCATAGAGGAAGCAGCCAATAAGGCATCCACACTGACACAGCGTGATGTAAGGGTCGGGGGTGAGGGAAGCTGGCCATACTCAGGGGATCAAAATCCTACTCACCCATCTCTCCCAATTAAAGGGAAACCTAGGGGTAAGCATTTGATATATCTGTTAAGGTGCCACTTAGGAAGCCCACAACCTATATCCAAGTGCCTGGGTTTGAATCCCAGCTCCTCTTCCAATTCCAGTGCACCACGGGGGCAGTGGTGATGGCTCAAGTGCTTGGGCCCCTGCCACCTACGTGGTAGACCCAGATTAAGTTCCTGGCTCCTAAGCGTTCATGTGGCCCAGCCCTGGCTGTTCTGGGCATTTGGGGAATGAATTAGTGCATGTGAGATCTCTATCTCATTCAAATTAGTAATTTTTTAAAAAAAGAAATTAAAGGGAAACTCGAGTTGGCATTGTGGAATAGCGGGTAAAGCAACCACCTACAATGCTGGCATCCCATATGGGCACAGGTTCGAATCCTGGCTGCTTGATTTATGATCCAACTCCCTGCTAACGTGCCTGGGAAGGCAGTGGAGGATGGCCCGAGTGCTTAGGCTCCTACACCCACATGAGAGACCTGGAAGAAGCTCCTGGCTCCTGGCTCCTGGCTTTGGCCTTGGCCATGCCCAGCCTTGGATGTTGCAGCCATCTGGGGAGTGAACGAGTGAGTGGAAGACCTCTCTCTCTCTCTGTAATTCTCTCTTTAAAATAAATAAATAAATCTTCAGAATAAAATAAAATAAAGGGAAGCGTATATGAACACCTCAAGCTGGAAGCAATAACTCTTGGAAGAACAAAGCAGTGTGATCACTTTCTAGACACACACCCTGATCCTTGCTGGGAGAGATGAGCCTGGGCCAGTAAGCAAATAAGCAGAGAGCTGGTGCCAGGCTCTCTCAACAGGTACCTGGTTGCGTGCCTCAATGAACGAGTTAACGAATGTTAGAGAAAGCGGATAATGCAATTTCTGCTCCAATCCACAGGGAATACGATAATGAAAGTTCCACCATAAATAAAGTAATCGCCAAAGAAGCCCCCAATCAAACTTCTCATTCACTGTAAATCTCTAAAAATCTTTGGAGTGCCTCCCTTAATCGCGTCGCCAAATTATTTAGTGCTAATATCGCATGGTACGCAGCACAGTTCCATTAAGCACAAGTTAGGGCCCACGAAGCCAAATGGGCCGTGGGGATTCCACACAGCCTGCCGAGCGGGGAGGGGGAACTGAGGCACCTCCCACTCAAGAGGTCTTTCTAATTGAATCGGGATAATGAATGTTCGGGCCGCCAGGGGCGCGTTGACGGAAGAGAAGTCGCTAAAGTGGCACAGACAACATCTTTCATTCCTTTTAACCCAAAGAGGTCCAAGGAAGGGGTGTCTCCCCTGGCGTCTCCTTGCGAGGCGCAAGCCAGAACAGAAAGCGAACTGAACCGATCGCCACCATCTAGTTAATTCTTTTAACAGAGCTCAACTGCAAGATTTCTAATTAAACATTGCCTACCAGTACAGTAAACATGAGCACACCTCACTGGGTGGAGCTGTTAGGAGTGGGAGCAGGTATCTGGGCAACCAAAGGAGGTTTTCCTTTTCACTGGGTTGTTTCTGGAAAAGTCACTCGGCCCTACATTGCAGCTCTCCTGCCTTGCTTCTCGTCCTGTTGTGTTTTTCTCAGGATGGTGCCCACATGCTGGTAGGGCTACAAGTTTGGAAGGAAGTGGATTAAAGGGAGGGCTGTTGGAATAACTTGGTTGTTTTCTCTTGTTTTTCTTTCTTTCTTTTTTTTTTTTTCCAGGCATAGTTATACAGTCTCACAGATTTACTGACTGTCAAACTGGGACTTGTTAGTTCCTTTGCTCGCCAAGCCAGACACTGATTCCAGATCAGGTCTCTTGTGGAACGTGTTCAGCTCTTTTTTTTTTTTTTTTTTTTTTTGACAGGCAGAGTGGACAGTGAGAGAGAGAGACAGAGAGAAAGGTCTTCCTTTTGCTGTTGGTTCACCCTCCAATGGCCACTGCGGCCGGCACACCGCGCTGATCCGATGGCAGGAGCCAGGTGCTTCTCCTGGTCTCTCATGGGGTGCAGGGCCCAAGCACTTGGGCCATCCTCCACTGCACTCCCGGGCCACAGCAGAGAGCTGGCCTGGAAGAGGGGCTACCGGGACAAAATCCGGCGCCCTGACCGGGACTAGAACCTGGTGTGCCGGCGCCGCAGGCGGAGGATTAGCCTAGTGAGCTGCGGCGCCGGCCATCGTCTTCAGCTCTTCTCAATTGTATCACAAAGCTCTAAGAAAGCAGGGATGGCTGATGAAAATATGACAAACAAGGACCAACTGTGGACAGTTCGGGTGGCCGGCTCCAGGTGGTGCTGGCATGTCCAGACTGCATTCTAGTGCCTGTCATTGGTCACCAGGAGGGCTACGCGGGAGGTCAATGCTAACTGGACACTACTTCTAGAAGAGTAACTTTTAGTGATATGCATTGCTAAAAGGAGTCTGGGAGCATCGTCCCTCCAAACACCACCACCAGGGAGCTGCTTTGCTTCTGTTGCATAATTTTACTGATGGTTTCCCTAATTCATAGTAAGATTTCCAAACACAGGACAGAGCTGTGGCGCAGTGGGTTAACGCCCTGGCCTGCAGTGCTGGCATCCCATGTGGGTGCCAGTTTGAGACCTGGCTGCTCCACTTCTGATCCAGCTCTCTGCTATGGTCTGGGAAAGCAGTAGAAGATGGCTCATGTCCTTGGGCCTCTGCACCCGCGTGAGAGACCTGGAAGAAGCTCCTGGCTCCGGGCTTCTGACTGGCACAGCTCTGGCCGTTGTGGCCATCTGGGGAGTGAACCAGCCTCTCCTCTCTCTGTGTAACTCTGATTTTTGAATACATAAATAAATCTTAAAAAAAAAAAAATTTCCAAACAGCGTCTGCATTTGATCCTTCTTGTTTAAGGGCCTTTACGATCTGTTTCTAGCTCCTACCTTAACAGGCTCACCCGAGCAGGTCACACACATGCCCCCAGCCCCACTCCTTCCTCATCCAGGAAGGCTGCACTGACCTTGACTTTCTGTTGGTGGTGATAAATTTGCCAGGCGATGTGAACATGCATGGCGCACCACTTCCCTGGTTTCTGAAACAAGAAACAGCAACGTGGTGAGGAGGAAGACACGTTGGGGGAAAAGCACCTTCGATTTCTCCCCAGCTCTCAGCGGGTTTTGGCCGCCAAGCCCCTTTTCGTGAAACAAACGAGAGCCTTACACCCTCCAAACGCCTCTCATCATCAGCAGCTCTCAACTTCCAGGCACAAGGGAGCCACAGTCAGCACCCCGCTCTTCCCACAGGAGCCGGAGCCTTCGGCTACTGCCCCAAAAGGCCTGAATCCCACTTTGTCTCTGCTCCCTCTCTCTTCTGGTGCCAGCTGGCAGACCGAGGGCCTCCTTAACAAACCCCGCCATGCTCCAATGCAAATCAGCTCCTCAGAAGAGCTAATTAGGGAAAGTCTGAATCCAATCCAAACAAGAGAGGGGACAGAACCTGCAGTAACCTCCCCCAAGACTGCCCGTGTCATTTTTAACCCCCAGCGTGGTACAAAGAACTTCACCCCATTTTCATTCATGATCAGTGACCACGAGTGCTTCACCCAACAGTCAACTGCCACTCACGACGGGCGCTATTCAGTTCTACGTTAAAGAAACAAAAGAAGAAGAACCCATTTCTTTCTACTCTCTTGGTCTCTGCAGATACCAAGTCCTTCTTCCCTCTGGGGAATAGATCCGGATCCCCTCTCTGGGGTAAATAAATGCAGGTGTATTCTTTCTCGGCAAATGGAGGGCAGAGACCACCTCACTCCATTTCCTTCCCACTAAGTAGTCTACCCACAGCTCAGAACCAAGAAAACGCAGCCCCATCCTACCATTGTGGTTTATATCTATAGTAAGGAGCCGTTTCTGAAATATCTACTTCTATTCAAGACTGGGGTCAGTTCTCTTCTCTCGCACTGAAATTGCGGGTCATCCAGGAGTACAAAGAATATACCGCCTCACCCAAGTGATGACACGATCCTATTTCCCTTTGCAGAAATCAAGTCACCTGATTATATGCACCAGAAATGGGCTAAGCCTGGCAGGGAATCCCTGGTCCACTCAACCGTCCACCTGTCTGTCCTCTACCCCACCCCTAAGCCAGCAGTCATCTGCCAGCCAGCCTGCAGGTCTCAAGACCTTTCAACTGAACAAGATGTTAACAAACCAATGCTCACAATATCTTTCTGTACAGAGAAATAGGTCAAGTGGCCATGGGAAGTCACTGCTAGTGGGAGCAGAACAGAGAGCTACAAGCCAAAATAAAAGCACTCGGATCAGTATTTGTCTTTCCAAGGGCCTGCAACTTGAGTTCTTCCCCCCACCTTCCGACTGGTCCAACCTTCTACCAGAACGAGAGAGTCGGAATTTGATGTTACCTAAATAAACATTAGCCAGACAGGATTCTCCCAACACTGAAAGCAAATTGATTTAGGTCATTTTCAATCACAGCACCTGAAAAACCCACGTGCCAACGTTCTGAAGTTTTATGCTACCATTTCTATGGCTTACTTCCTTGTCATGGATTTGTATTTTTAACCCACAGGGAGTCAAAGAGAGGTTGCAAAACAGCCCGAGAAGAAGCGTCCTTACCCTTAACATGGGTCTGAAAGGATCTGTCAACTGTGAAGAGAAAATGACAACTTGGTTACACGCCTGTCACTCAAACAATTGCTCTAATTAACAAATTTGTAGTGCTTCATTAGGAGGGGAAATTAAAATGTTAGAATTTTACTTTTAAATGAAGCCCTTTTAGAGAATAATTAACCCATTTTCACACTATCAAAAGTGCCAAGTGTCCCCTCCCCCACGGCAGGAGCCTCGGAACACGGGGGCTGACAAGTCCCTGTGCACCTTCAATCACAGGCGGTGGCCCCTGGCCACACGCCTTGCTCGAGTGACACAGGAGCTTGCCTGGCCCTTCCAGACCATGCTGAGAGGGGGTGAGGGACCAGGGCCTGCGGAAGCCTGACAGTGAGGGCGTCTCAGGGGAGACACAGGACAAGTGGGCTCTCTGTACCGACACTCACTCTGGCGTTAAGGACCGGTATTAGATATTTTCAAGAGGTTCACAAAACATCAGGAAAACACACTTACCTACCTGAGTCGTTTTAAATGTCTACCTAACCCTGGTCATCAATTTCTGACTGCCTTTACCCAGGGAGAAAGGCAACACTGTAAAAGGTTCTCACATTCACTCTACAGATAAATATGAGCAACAATCAATGAGACGAGATTATACTTATCGCATAACTTCTTTTTGGGAGGTTGGCAGCGGTAGAAATTATCAATACATGACCTAGCCAGATCATAATGGAGATTTTATTTAGCTCTCCAGCACAACAGACTCCCTATCACATTAAAAATAGAGCCCGGAAGAGCTGTGTGGTGGGTAGTATCCTGGCCTCAAGGAGGTGTGTGTGTGTGTGTGTGTGTGTGTGTGCATGTGTCCGGACACTGCTTTTCCATTCAAAACATTCCACATACAGCTCTTTCGAGTGAGAGAAACCCAAGGTGATGCGGACTGAGAAGACAAACATCAAGGAGAAACCACACAAGCTACCAGTGTGTGCTTTCTGGGTTAAGAGCGTAAGCCATTCTGGTTCTCTCCCAATGGCAAGCTGGTTCCCTGGGAGAGATTTTTGTTTCCTAAGGGTCCCTGGCCTTGTCCTGCACACACCTGAACAGTGCGTACTCACATTGAGCCATGCAAGGTGTGAACTCTGGGCCGGGTGACTCTTGCAAATGCACGCCCCACTCCCAGTGTTACCTGTGATGAGCCTGACTGTGCACATACGTACCCTCGGGTCCTTTTGGAGTAAAGTGTGTGGCACCGTCCCGGGCCGAGCAGCGACATCAATAGGGTTGGATGTCTACAAATTAACGAGGGCACAGTTTAGGAAGCACAAAACATTAGGCGGCAAAGCAAGGTCTTGCCTTCCCTCTAAAAGTACAGAAGTCAACCTTCACTCATGTCTGTCTCGTCCTGAAACACCACCCCCACCTGACTGACTGCTTGAGCTCTTTGTGAGGCCCTGACCAGGAATCGCCCTCTCTGGCAGGGACATGGAGGCAGCCCCAGCACCTGTCACAGAGCAAGGAGACAAGCACCACACACAGTGGCCGCCCTGACACTCCCCTTCCTCCTAGGGAACCCGCGGCACTGGCGGCCACTGTCTTGCGTTTGCTTTATAGCTGAGCGTTCTGAGAAACGTGTAAGTGAACGTTATTAGCATTTGCAGGATCAGGTGCTCCTCATCAGAATAACTGAAAGTATTCCTACAGACATTAAGCCAACTCTCTACATTTTAACTGGCAGATAATAACAAGGAATTACACTCGGTAATTACTCATTAGCGGTGGTGGAAAATGGGACGAGAGAACCTAATTTAGGGACCACGCAGACCCATTATTAAATGATTTCTCCAGTAATGCTGCCTCGTCCTTTTTTATTCCCTCCGCTACTCTTACATATCACTAACGACATTAACTTTCGACGTAGGCTTTTGTCCTTGGAATTAACAAACAACAGAAAGCCCACTCTGAGCCCGGTCCCGACTTTTCCACGAGGAAAGCCTTCGGAAAACAGCTCTAGCGACTCTATGTAAGAAATCACGACTTCTAGCCGGCGCCGTGGCTCACTAGGCTAATCCTCCACCTTGCGGCGCCGGCACACCGGGTTCTAGTCCCGGTTGGGGCGCCGGATTCTGTCCCGGTTGCCCCTCTTCCAGGCCAGCTCTCTGCTATGGCCAGGGAGTGCAGTGGAGGATGGCCCAGGTGCTTGGGCCCTGCACCCCATGGGAGACCAGGAAAAGCACCTGGCTCCTGGCTCCTGCCAGGATCAGCGCGGTGCGCCGGCTGCAGCGGCGGCCATTGGAGGGTGAACCAACGGCAAAAGGAAGACCTTTCTCTCTCTGTCTCTCTCTCTCACTGTCCACTCTGCCTGTCGGAGAGTGGTAAAAAAAAAAAAAAAAAAAAGAAATCACGACTTCTACGAATCCCCCCTCCACAGCAGCCACTGAACTCGTTTGGAAAAAGAGCTCAAGTTTAGGCAGGAAGCTTGCCTACAAGGAGAAGGGGGAAAAAAAAAACTGAAAGAAAGCAAAGCAAAGCAATCAGCCGCAGTACAACTAACAATTAGGCTGGAGTTGTTAACAGCCTGATTTGCATACATATGAAGAACTCCACTAACGAGCTGCACTCTACATATTCAATCAGGAAGATGGCCTGGAAAGGCCCATTCCAACACCAGCAGAGACACTTTCCTGCCCAGATGTAGTTTTCTGTGTGATTGGATAATTGTGAGTGAGGGAAATGGCCTAATTTATTAAATGACCCACCAGTCTGTTTGGGGATGCATCGGAGGTCTGTGGCAACCTGGAGGGGACAGATGACAGCCCCAGGGAGCTGTGAGGAGCAGATGAGGGGAAGGAGTTGAAAAGTCACCACCACACGGCCCTGCATAGCAACCGCGGCCCCCAGCAGGTGCCACGCGATTTTGAAGGAGTGGCCTTCCCGCTTCTGAAGTTGTCTAATTTCTCTCCTCGTTTCTAGTTTCTGTGTGTTCACCCTGGGAAAGTCCGGCCCCAAACTGGACTGAGATGGGGGAGAAAAAGGAAGCGGACATTACACACAGCCAAGTATCTTAGTCTAAATCTGATGGCGGTTACCAACGGAAGAAGCGCAATGCACTACTGTTCTTGCATGGCAGTGAGCCAAGCTTTCAACAGGTAAAGTATTCTAAAAAAATTACTGTTCAGTGTTGACCTGTGGCCTGCGTCGAACTGCACTGTCACTCCCTGGGCAGAAACTTTGTTAATTATTATAAATGGCAAATTTCCCACTAGGACGTTAGAACTGGGGACAGAGCCTTGACTATGGCAAGTGTGACCATGGTGAGGGTGGTTTGGGGGGGGGGGGAGACAGAGAGAGTCGAGAGGGGGCTGATGGGGGCTCAGGAGGGAAATGAGGGAGAGCGAGGAGCAGATTTCTCCCTTGACACAATGAACAGGACACAGTTCTAGCTGGGGAAGTGTCGCCCCTCCCCCCTTCTAGTACAATCCCTCAAGACTCAATGTTGCATTGGTTAAGAACCGATCCCTCAGGGTCAGCTTGGTGCACATGTGTCTGACATTTCATAGAGTTCCTGACCAGAATCTTAGGTCCACAGTATTGGTAAGAAAAAAATATATAATATATATATTTGTATATATATTCCACGTATTTTAAGTCTCACAGGAAATCTTAGCTCAACTGAGATTACATGGGTAGCGCTGATTGAAAATGAAGTTTTTGCTGAGGTTGCAAACTAGAGGGACTGGGGGAAAAAAGTATTCTCATTCTGATGCCCCTGGTCACTTTGGATCTGACCAATGCAGTCACGGTGCGGGCAGGAGGATGCAGAAGCCACCTGCACCGCTGGCCTGGGGCTCCACTCAGAAACATGCCCGTGTGTTTGCACTGTAAGGCTTCTTACCTTCGGCTGAAATGCTCCTTGGAGTGAACCAAAAGGGCCAGTGGGTGGGATCATAGGGGGGATGCCCGATACTGCAGGAGGATAGGAATGGAAGAGCTGTGGCCAGAGATGGAGAGGGAAAAACATGATTTTAGTCGGAGGCAAGTGATATATTCAAATTCCCTCCCCATAGAAAGACATCACATTAGCAAGCCAAGTAATCTCAGTTTGATGCTATTAGCCAAGAAGCCATGATGAAATGATCACACAGATGTGCCATGAATGTTTAACTGCAAAAGTTAAAAGTAGTTCAGAATCAATCAGCCAACAAATGATGTCCCAGATGAGGACATCATTAGAAAGGGAGCTTTTCTAATTATTAATTGGTAAATTGAATAGAAATCCTAAATGGTTGGAGATTCTAATGCCTAGCAAAAACAGGAGGGATGCTGAGCCAAATAAGATGCCCAGAAAATTACAAGTTAATTAGAAAAAAAAAATAAAAAAGAAGAAGAAGAAAAAAAGAGGAGGGGGGAGTGGGGAAAGAAGAAAAAGAAGTAGGTCTTTATGAGTGCCAGAATTTGATGCCATTAAAACTCAATTAGTACTTTTAGGTTTCTGAGAGTTTGAGCAAGTGAGAGCAAATTCACAACCCTCGCTTCGTTAGGTTGTTCTAGAAGCGGCAGTTCCAGAGGACAACTTAATTTTCTCGTCTAAAACGATGACAAATATTTGGGGAAGGGTAAAGCAAAAACGACTCGGTGTGTACTTGCAGTGGGCTGCCCCTTTTTCCAGAAGACAGATTACAATAGTGTGGAGTGGTGTACTTTCTAACTGTTCTTGTTTGCTGAGTTCCAGGTACTCAAAGCACTTCTAACGCTTCCAGCCGGTTCTAAGCGAGAGCTCACGGGAGGCTACTCAGAGCCACCACCTTGACAGGTGAGTCTGACCACGTGGTAATGGGAGACGAGTCTGAAGGCTATGAGTTTTCTGGGATCACTAGCTCAGAGAGAACACAGCCGAGGGAAGCATGTAGTGCAATACTGAACACGAAATAGACACATCTTTCCCTCCTTGTGCGAATCCAACGATTCTCAGACTCCACTGCTCTGGGTCCATGGACTTTGATCAAACCATCATACAGCTATGTAAGCAACCCCCACTTTCACAGTTGCGTCGTATGTCAAAAATGCACACACACAAAAATAATGGAAGCTTGTCTTAATGCTAGCTATTAGTGCTAATGACTGAAATTCACATTTCACAATCTTGTCTGTTTGCGGGCACTATGTAGTTTTTTCTATTGGTCTTTATTTCATTTTGCTCCCTTCAATGATGCAGCAAAGGTTTTCAGACTAATTGATATTGAACTAAATCCACTTAAACAGTGATTGCAAGCCAAGTGCCCTCATTTAAAACTACTTTTAAGTCTAAAATTGTGTTTTAGATACTTGAGAGCATCTTAATTCTCCTTATATCGTCCTAATCCCCAAAGCAGGGGAGAGAGACTAAGTCCTTCATGTATTACCCACTACGACTAATAACATAAAATATCTCTCCCACAGTACACTGTATAAAGCAGAGTAATTAAAGACACGCCACAGTAAAACACACTCAAATTTCTATTACTCTGCCTCCAGGTGGGCATTTTTCCTTTAATGTTTACCAAAAAAAAAAAAAAAAAAAAAAAGACACTGGGTAGTCTCCCCTTGTTTTTTTAGCTTTATTCCTTTACTGACCTCTTAAAATATAAACAGAGCTCACTATTCCCTTCTTTCGACTGAAAACTGGAAGCATTTCAACTTTTCAAAAATTCGGGCCTCTGGGCTCCTTTAAACCGAGGACTCTCTGTGGGTTGTGCATACAAAAAAGGCAGTGTGCTTGGTCCTAAGAAGTAAATGTGAACCACCTGTTGAGCACACTGGACTTTCCACAAGAATTATTTTGTTAGCCGGCCTTTAATTTAAGTCAGCAAAGTACAGACTGGGCAGAAGGACACCATTCAGGGGACAGACCCAAAGAAGGAACCCGTAGCTCTACTGGGCTTGGCATGCCTATTTGAAAAAAGGTTTTTGTGTCACAGTACTGAGCAGAACAATGTGGTCCACACTGTGGGGGGAGGGGGAAAGGACTTACTTGACTACCACTTTCCTAATTCCTTTTGGAAAGGGCCTCTCTCACATTCTCACTAAACCGCGGATTAAGCAGTTCCTGATTTCTAGCATTTCCTGGTCTTGACTCTTCAGCTAAGCTCTTGGCTCATGCAGTGTCTATCTGGCCCAAAGTATGGAGGAATGCAGTCTCTGCTGATGTCTTAAGGAGCACTCCTGGTCAAATGTCAAATGATAACACTGTCTAAAAAAATCAAAGCAAGAATAGTTGGCTCTACGCAATTATTAACCTTTATTTTAGGGGGCAGTTTCATTTAAAAATATAAATAAACCACTGAGCAAAGAAACTTGCAAATTTGCAGATAAAAATGATGCAGTATTCATCCCATAATCAAAATATCATCGTGAAGTGGCTAAGGAATTTGTATCGAAAGTAGTTCTTGTCTTACAAGTACTAAACATGTAAATAACTTGGTGGACCGGTAGCAATTTAAGTTCCAAAATATCTTTTTAAAACAAGATTTTTTTCGAAAGATAATGAGTTTAAAAAATGATGTGTGTTTTTTTTTTTTTTTTTTTTGAGAAAAACAATCCTTGTTTCAATTTTAAGTCTCTTCATTAAATGACATTTTTACTGTCAAGTTTTACAAGTTCAGGAGAACAGCACCAGTCACAAGGAAGAAGGTTGTACATGGAGTCTAAAGCAAACAAAACCCTACTTATTTTTTGTTTTTAAGAGTGATGAGTCAAAAGGATAAGGGGTTTTCTAGATAGAGGAAGTAATTCAGGTTGAATCGCAGAAACTGCGTTTATGGCATTTCTGCTGGTGACTGAAATGGTTTGTTTCTGGGCTCACCAGCACCACGCATGACCGCACTTTGCAAACCCCCCCTCCCCATTTGCACAGGGGACGCCTGTCTTCCCAGTGAGGCTCAACTTTGCTTTCAGGTCTTCGGGGAAGCTTCTGATCTTTTGATTCAGAAGATGATACTGCATCTTTACCAAAAGCAAAATGCCACAAAAGCAAGCATCCAGAGTGATAAAGGAGCAATGGGAACTCTTGCAAAAGATGATTAAGGAAGGCTGCTGGTCGCTTACTGGTCTGTGGCAAGCGCACAAAAATGGAAAAGCAGTTACATTCAATGGGTAGCATGGTAAAGGACTCACACTGTGCCGGTAGAATGGGTCAACTTTTGTAGGGTATTTGTCAAACTGTAAAGGGATCAAAGCAAAAACTAGTTACTTCACCTGCATTGCTGCTCGCTGTCCTGGAGGTAGCCCTACTCAAGCTGTTCTGCTACTAAGACGCCGTCAGGCGCAACCGACTCATGGGATCTGAAACCATTCGGGGCTCCTGAGTCCCTCCGACAGGAATCAACAGAGAAGGAGAAGTAAAGTGGAAACCCATGGGGTACGAGGTGCCAGCCCTGTACACCCTACTGTGCTGTCTGTCTACTTGATAGGTAGAGTCTGGTACAAAAGCAACCATGAGAAGTGTGTATTTTGTCGGACTTGGCCAGGGTCTCCTCTCCACTGTCACCTGCACTCGGGTTGAAGAACTGAACAGCGGGCTGTCTTCTGAAATGTGTTACACCTCAGTACAAGGCAACTCGGGCTTCTGGCCTTTCCCTTGAGCAGGAAAAGAGCGTACTACTGCTGCCTCTACATCACGTACATGGACTGTGGCTGTCCCTCCCGGCACTTAAGTGTGGCAGCTTCTAGGGGCTAGCGCAAAACTCTTTTTCCAAATAATAGTCCCTTAAAAATGGAACTCCTGAGTTTAGTTTATCCAGGAAAAAGGGACAAAATTTGCCATACAAAGATATTTTTTTTTGGTTTCAAGGACTCATTGCTAATATTTCCTGAAATAAAATTTATAAAACTAATTCCAAATACATATAAGGGCTGGTGTCGTGCACCAGCAGGTTTAGCTGTACCTCTGACTCTGGCATCTCACACTGCAGTGAAGGGTCAAGCCCCAGCTACTGCAGCTTGGATCCAGCTCCCTGCTAATGCGCCTGGGAAGGCAGTGGAAGATAGGCCAAGTGCTTGGGCTCCTGCCACCCACGTGGGAAAACAGGATGGAGACCCCGACTCCGGCCTTCAGTCTAGCCTAACCCTGGCTTTTGTGGCCACTTGGGAAGTCATTCAGGGGATGGAAGAGCTCTCTATCACTCTGCCTTTCAAATAAATAAATTTATATATATGTATATTATATATATGTATAATATAATACACGTTCAAATATATAAATTTGCATATATACATATATATATAAATTAAGGTGAGGGGCCAGCACTGTGGCCTAAAGCACCGGCACCCCGTATGGGTGCCGGTTCTAGTCCCAGCTGCTCCTCTTCTGATCCAGCTCTCTGCTATGGCCTGGGAAAGCAGTAGAAGATGGCCCAAGTTCTTGGGCCCCTGCACCCATGTGGGAGACCTGGAAGAAGCTCCTGGGTTCGGATCGGCACAGCTCCGGCTGTTGCATCCATCTGGGGAGTGAACCAGTGGATGGAAGACCTCTCTCTCTGTCTCTACCTTTCTCTGTAACTCTTTCAAATAAAGCAAATAGATCTTAAAAAAAAAAAAAAAAAAAAACTTAAGGTGAACTAGATGGGAACAGGAGAGGGAGGAGAAGCAGTGGAGTTGGGTGAAGAGAATTTCTTTTAAAAACAAGCAGTTCAAACCTATTCTTATAGCGTCTATATTACTTGCTTTAAAATCAACCATGGGGGCTGGTGCTGTGGCACAGCAGGTGAAGTTGCCACCTGCAACCCTGGTGTCCCCTACGGGTTCGTGTTCCTGCTACACCACTTCCCATCCAGGGGTTCATGTCCTGGGAAAGCTGCAGAGGATGGCCCAAGTACTTGGGCACCTGCACCCATACTGGGGACCTGAATGATGCTCCTGGCTCTGGCCTGGCCTGGTACCAGCCATTGCAGCCATCTGGGGAGTGAACCAATGGATGGAAGACCTCTACCTCTCTCTCTCTCTCTCTCTCTCTCTCTCTCTTTCTCTCTCTCCTTTTCTTTCTATAACACTGACTTTCAAATAAATAAACCTTTAAAAAAAAAAAACCTAAAATCAAGCATTAAAGTAGACATCCAACAAGTGCAGTACTCTAATACTCACTGTCAGAGACAGGACTCTACCTCAGGAATCTAGGAGGTAGCATTCTCAAGTGGCACTAGTAGTTACAGTTCCGACTGAACTGAATACCTCCACCTAAGCAGGTGCTCCCTGAAATAGCCTCTCCCGCTTCTCACCCCTACACTGACGCGGACCTGAGCTGGCACTGGGGGTCAGGGCTGGACAGCTACATTGTTATCCATGGTAGCAACACGATGCTCCAAAAAAGGAAAATAGCCCTTTAAGGAGTAACAAGTCCGACAGCGGAGGGGGCTGTTTCCAGGGCATCTAGAACAAGCCCCGCCCACGCTGCTGTATTCCCGCTTCCGGTCTCTGCAGCTGCCTGGGGTGGGACACATTTCCTGATGCCCTGCAAAGGTGACCTAGGCCAAGGGAGCCCCCCGCCACGCCAGCACCCCACCGCCACCCCCCATCCCGTCTCCTGGTGGTCCCGGCTGCCCAGCCCACCCGCCCTAGGGCTGCATGAAGAAAAGAGTCGTGCTCTACTTATCCTCACATTTCTGCCTGGGGTACGCACCATGGGAGGTGCTGGCGTCGGCATGATGGCGGTGGGCGGGATGGCGTGGGGGAACGGCGTGAAGGTGTGCTGGTGCGTATGCTGGTGAGTGTGTTGGTGCTGGTGTTGGTGCTGGTGGAACTCGGTGCGCAGGTAGGGCGGGGGGCCCAGGGAAGCCCCGCGGTCAGCACTCTGAGAGGCCAAAAAGCGCGTGTTCAGTTCCTGTCGCAAGATGTCTTGCTCTGGGAAAAGAAGAGAAGGGAGGCGGTGACGCCTTGTCCTGCGATGGTCACTTCCTTAAGGACGGGACAGCCAAGGGCCTCGCTGTCGCGGACCACGGTAGCTGGGGACTCCCAGGGGCAGTCGGATCCTGAGATACATGGGGGGACAGTCCTGAGATACAAGGGCCTGGTCACAAGCCAGCGTCCCTGTTTCTCAAAGAGCTCACAGAGTGCCCGGCCACGTGGCCAGGGCTGGATCTCTAGCTGGGTCACTGCTGAGTGACTCCGGACATGACAAGCCACCCACCCGATAAGTTGACCTCGCCCTCTCCGGGCAGTGGGGATGGTGACACTGCTATCTACTGAAGTGGAGGGCACACACTAAGTGCCAGCCGTTAATAGGTCACAGCTCTCTCTACGGCCCTTGTCCGGGGTCAGTGACCGATGTGTGGCTCTCAGTATCCATGGCCAAACACTGGTTGACAACTCGGCCAGGGGCCTGACCTCTACAGGTGCCCAGAGGAGACGCCGATGGCTTACACGGGGCCTGCCCTGGAAGTTCGGGGACCTGTCCCCACGACAGGCTCCTCTCTCCCAGGAGTAAAGCGAAAGGCGCTGGGTGAGCACGGGTGTCGGTATCCATCTGCGCTGGCTCCCGGCCCATAGGAGGAGTTGGGGGAGAGGAGAAGGAGGCCGAAGCCTGCGAGTGAGCACCAGCTAGCGACTGGGCACGGCATGGCTGGTGCAACGGAAACGCCCTACCTGAGTAAGTGCTCCCGGCCGGGTGTCCGGGGACCGGCAGACTCCCTGATGTCAGTGGTGGCGGAGGAGGCAGAGCAGTGGGAGGGGCAAACATATTGGGGTGATGTGAGTGGGCGGGGGGCTGGAGGGTGGGCGTGAAGCTGTGCAGGGGGCTGTGGTTGGGCAGGGAGAGGGGGAAGGGGGAGGCGGAGGGGTGGTGGGAGATGTGAGGAGGGGCGGGTTGAGTCTTTGCCGGCGTGCTGCTTCTGCTGCTGCTGTTGGGTGGAAAGAAGAGCATAAAGACAAAAAAAAAAAAAAAAAAAAGTGAGCAATTCGTTTTCTTAAAAAAAAAAAAAAAAAGCCCTCATTCCCCGCTTTCTGTCCCACCCCCTCCCCCTTTAGGGACCGCCCCATAGGGCGACACAGCCCGGCCAGCTCAGGGCCTCCCTCTCTCCCGAGGCTACACACTTGTCTCTGCCCTGCCCCCCTGGCCCGCTCCTGAATCCCACAAGGCAACCCAACTAACAACACAGCAGTGAAAACACTGTTCACCCCAGCTGCCTGGAACCTGTTAAAGAGACGACACAAATAAGGAGGTGGACACAGGTGCTAGCTTCTCTGATCACCGTGATGGGCTGGAGGTCACAGACCTGGCTTAGGAGGTTCAGAAGAGGGCCTGGCCCCTTGGGGACAGAACCGGCCTCCCTAACCTGTTCCTTAACTGTCCCGGACAGGAAAAGGCAAGTTCATCTCCAGGATTCGCAAAGCCTCAGAACCCCTGGCACGACTCTTAATCTTAAGAATCTAGTTCTGGCCGGCGCTGCGGCTCACTAGGCTAATCCTCCACCTAGCGGCGCCGGCACACTGGGTTCTAGTCCCGGACGGGGCACCGGATTCTGTCCCGGTTGCCCCTCTTCCAGGCCAGCTCTCTGCTGTGGCCCGGGAGTGCAGTGGAGCATGGCCCAAGTGCTTGGGCCCTGCACCCCATGGGAGACCAGGAGAAGCACCTGGCTCCTGCCTTCGGATCAGCGCGGTGTGCTGGCCACAGTGCGCCCGGCCGTGGCGGCCATTGGAGGGTGAACCAACGGCAAAAGGAAGACCTTTCTCTCTGTCTCTCTCTCTCTCACTGTCCACTCTGCCTGTCCAAAAAAAAAAAAAGAATCTAGTTCTTTCTTTCTTAGTCCTCAGTTCCCAAGCCAACCTGTCCTTACCCAAGAGCCCCCAGTCCCTCCCAATGTCCCCCCCGCCCCCGTGTCTTCCAGCCTCAGAGAAAACCTCAAGGTGCGTGTGTGTCAGCAGCCCCTTACCCACGACCCCCACGTCCTTGGGAAGACGGCAAGCGTCGGACAGGAGAAGACCACGTTGGCTCACCTTAAACTGTTGAGGCTGAGGCTACTGCTGTTGTAGGCGGACAGCGGCTGGGGGACGCTCTGGGACGAAGGGTGGGCCTGCACAGGCGGGAGGTTCTGGTGGAGCAGCTGGGCGGGGGACTGCGGCCTGGGCGGCCTCTGCACCTGAGGCTGTGGGGCGGGCAGCAGCTGGGCCTCCGGGGGGCCCGGGGGTGGCTGTGAGCTCGGAGGCGGGGGCTGCGGCGGGGCCTCCGTGCGCTGCACCAAGTCGGGGTCCGGAGAAGGAGCTTGGAGTTGAGGCTCCACCTGGGGCTGGGGTAGCGGCGGCGGGACCTGAGGGCAGGGGTCTTTAAGCACCACGGGCTCAAAGATGGGCTCTTTGCAGCAGTCCTGGCTCTTCTCCTGGCTTCTCTCTAGACCCGATATCTTGGGGACAATGGGCCCTGCATCTTGGCTGTCACGGTCCGGGAGTGTGCCAACGCCTAAGTCCGGATCTGCATTGGGGGGGGGGGGGGGGGAGACAAAACCACAGGTGATGACGTGTGAGTGCCAGTGAGGTGGGAAGCAAACTCCACGACTCTAGCATCCATGCCTTGTGATGCGGTGGGGCCTGCGCACACAGGGGGTGGGGGTGGGGGGAGATGAGGCAGCAGCGATGCCCCCCCCCCCCAACACCACCCCTGCCAGTGACAGCTGCGTTCCAGACAGCGAGAGCCGCCTGGACCACCAGGCCGAGATGGATTTGTTCTGAAAATGAATGTTTTCCTTAATTCCCACAAAGTCTCTCATGGAACACAATTAACCAACGATAGCCGACAAGTTGATTTTTTTTTTCTCCCTTTAAAACAAATACAGTTCTTGAATATACAAAAGAGAAGTGTTTTCAATATAGCAAATGTAGCAGATGTTATTTAACAACACACAGATGGGTTTTCTTGGCCTTCCCTCTTCTCTTTCCATTTTGACCGAGGAGACACACTTGACATTTAGAGAAATCACTTTTATTTAGGAAGCGCTAAGCTTCCAGTCAAAAGTTGGGCCTCCTTAACGCTCACTGTCCATCCGAGATCAAAGGTGCAAACGTGGATTTTCATGAAGTTCAATGTCAACTGCACTGGCTAGGTTTTTTAAGAAATTCCCCTTGAACCATGGTGGGGGTCTCCGCCCAGCTGAGGCCAAGAGGTGTGGATGCCACACATTAGAATGAAGCTTGATGTAACAGTTAAGCAAAAGTCTATGATCAGGAAAAAAATACAGAAAACAGATGCTCCTGTGTGAATGTAAAAGGTAGGCACTGGGGCCGGCGCTGTGGCGTAGCGGATAAAGCCGCTGCCTGCGGTGCCAGCATCCCACATGGGCGCGGTTTGAGATCTGGCTGCTCCTCTTCCAATCCAGCTCTCTGCTGTGGCCTGGGAAAGCAGCAGAAGATGGCCCAAGTCCATGGGCCTCTGCACACGCGTGGGAGACCAGGAAGAAGCTCCTGGCTCTGAGCTTCTGATTGGCACAGCTCTGGCCGTTGTGGCCATCTGGGGAGTGAACCAGCAGTTAAAAGACCTCTCTCTCTCTGCCTCTCCTCTCTCTGTGTAACTCTTTCAAGTAAATACATATTAAAAAAAAAAAAAAAAGTTATGCACTGCTCCAAAGGCCAAAAGATCTAAGTGCTGCTTACTGGGTGACCCCATAAGTCAAATTCCATAAAACTCACAAATGGAAAAACGAATGTCCAGCATGGTGTTCCATATAAAGCAACGGACCCATTAAGGAGTACGAACTTCTGTACATATCTGTGGAGAAGTTACCTGTCCCTCATTTGTGTGCCAAAACAGCACCCTCCTTTTGATTATGATCCAGCTTTAGAAACAGGCAAAGGCCGGCGCTGTGGCTCACTTGGCTAATCCTCCGCCTGCAGTGCTGGCATCCCATATGGGCGCCGGTTCTAGTCATGCCGGTTCTAGTCCCGGTTGTTCCTCTTCCAGTCCAGCTCTCTGCTGTGGCCTGGGAGGGCAGTGCAGGATGGCCCAAGTGCTTGGGCCCTGCACCCGCATGGGAGACCAGGAGGAAGCACCTGGCTCCTGGCTTCAGATCGGCACAGCGCCGGCTGTAGCGGCCATTTGGGGAGTGAACCAATGGAAGGAAGACCTTTCTCTCTCTCTTTCTCACCGTCTCTAACTCTACCTGTCAAATAAAAAGAAAAAAAAAAAACAAGCAAGAGAAGACTGCAGTGGTCTCCGCAGTGAGGGTGTCTTTTTTGTCTTCTAGAATGATCTATTCTAGCCGTGGACTTTTTCTTCCTAGCTCCCTGTATATCAAGTGTGAAAAAACAGGATATTCTCACTGGTTGTATTTATTTCTGCTGGTGCTCTCTGGTGTCTGTACACTTGTTTGTCATTTTTCTTCCTCAGAATCTGTGTCAAAGTAATCCATTATTTTCAATGTTCTCTTAGTACAACAGATCAAACCATAACAGGCACAAGCGTGGAAACAAATGCTGGGTTTATAAACAAAGCACATTTGTGGCTGCTGTGGACTTGGCTATCTTCATGTCTCACAGAGCAGCCTGGATGGAGAGAAAGCTGCTTCCTGCACACGCTTCAGGTAGGAAAAGACGCAACATTGCAACATGGTCCCAATGAAAAGTGACGTTACATGTTTGACATCCCACTCACCTGTCCACCCAGTGTTGCCGTAAGAACCTTTCTGGGAAGCCTTTCACTTAAGATAAAAGGTGAAATTGTGGGGCTGGCGCTGTGGCATAGTGGGTAAAGCCACCACCTGCAGTGCCGGCATCCCATATGGGCACCAGTTCAAGACCCGGCTGTTCCTCTTCCGATACAGCTCTTTGCTACAGCCTGAGAATGCAGCAGAAGATGGCCCAAGTCCCCGGGTCCCTGCACCTGCATGGGATACCCGGAAGAAGCTCTTGGCTCCTGGCTTTGGATCGGCACAGCTCCAGCCGTTGTGGCCAATTGGGGAGTGAACCATCGGATGGAAGACCTCTGTCTCTGCCTCTGCCTCTCCTTTTCTCTCTGTGCAACTCTGACTTTCAAATAAATAAATTAAAAAAAAAAAAAGCACTGGTCTAATTAAAAAAAAAAAAAAAGCTGAAATTGTGTGAGTTTCCAGAACCTTAGTTTCCACTTTCTGAGCCGGAATAAGACACCAAGCTTCCTCCTTGATGTGGACAGAGCCCCTGCAGCCAGAAGATCCCTGGGACCCCTATCGGCAGATGCCATGGGCTCAGGATTTGGCTCTGCCTCTCTGTTAATGCTTTTTCTACCACCTCACAGAATTTTCCATGTGTGTCTTTCACCATAGTTTCCATGGCAAGCCAGTATATGACAGCTGGCAGAAAGTGCACATGGCTTCAAACCCTGCAGGTCCCTCGGTCAGCTCTGGGGCAGAAAGTGCCAACCGCCCAGAAATGCTAACAGCACAAAATAAAAGAGGGATTTTACTCAATGAGCAGCTCATGGCCCTGGGCAGGGCCTCTGGCCACGTGGACAGCCAATTTCAGCTGATAGTGCTGGATAACACTGGCAGGAACACATTTTTAAACTCTTGCACTTCTCTGTTCTCTCTGGACCAGGATGATAAAGAATCTACCAATCAATATTTTCTATCTTGGGAAAGTTGACATCCAAACTCCCTCCAAAGCTCAAGGTCTGAACAAAGTTTCTCCCTCGCATTAAACAACAACAAAAACTTTTTTTTTTTTTTTTAACAGGTAGAGTGGACAGTGAGAGAGAGAGAGACAGAGAGAAAGGTCTTCCTTTTGCCGTTGGTTTACCCTCCAATGGCCGGCGTGGCCGGCACACTGCAGCCGGCACACTGCGCTGATCCGATGGCAGGAGCCAGGTGCTTCTCCTGGACTCCCATGGGGTGCAGGGCCCAAGCACTTGGGCCATCCTCCACTGCACTCCCTGGCCACAGCAGAGAGCTGGCTTGGAAGAGGGGCAACCGGGACAGAATCCGGCGCCCCGACCAGGACTAGAACCCGGTGTGCTGGCGCCGCTAGGGGGAGGATTAGCCTAGTGAGCCACGGCGCCGGCCAAAAACTTCTTTTTAAAGGATGCTGCCGAGAGATATCATGGAAACACATCAGAAGCACACATATAAGTGCTCCAAAATCTAGCTGGACTCCATCTATCTCCTCCTTTGTTCTTGGAGTCTGGACCACACCGTCATGTGCAGGAGGCATCCCAGCCTAGACACACACAGGGCGCAAGAGTGGTGCCAAGGCTTCGGCAGCTCCTGTTGCCACTGACAAGCGACATGGGACCCAGGGAAGGCCAACTGCTAGTCTGTGCAGAACCACCTACGCTAGGACTCAAGGAGCCTGGCCGCACAGAATTTTGAAACAAGAACCCAAGAGGCCATCCCAGTGCCTGGCAAACTGGAATGCGCATGCCAGCCGCCTGAAGATCTTGTATCACAATGCAGATTCAGTGGCTGTAGGGCTCAGGCCATCTTCTACTGCTTTCTCAGGTGCATTAGCAGAGAGCTGGATGGGAAGTGGAGCATCTGCTCGAACCGGCACCCATATGGCATGCCAGTGCTGCAGGCCAGGGCTTTAGCCTGCTGTGCCTTGACTTCTGAGCATCTCCCAGGGGACACTGGTGGTTTAGGGCCACATGGGCTACTTCAACAAGACTGCAGAAAATGCAATTAAAAGTTTGGTTTGGGGCCTGGGGGTGTGGGGGTGCACCGGGTTTCTCCACAATGCTGGCATCCTCAAATGAGTGTTCGTTCCACTCGTGGCTGCTCTACTTCCAGCTCCCTGCTACTGCAGGGCTGGCGTCTGATATGGGTGAGGGTTCGAGACCTAGCTGCTCCACTTCCGATCCAATTCTCCAATAATGTGCATGAGAAAGCACCAGAAGATGGCCTGAGTCCTTGGACCCCTGCCACCCACATGGGAGACCCAGATGGAGTTCCAGGATCCTGGTTTTGGCCTGGTGCAGTCTGCTGTTATGCACATTTGGGGAGTGAACTAGTGGATGGAAATATCTCTCTCTCTCTCTCTCACTCCATCTCTGTCACTCTTTCAAATAAATAATAAAAAATAAATCTTTTTAAAAAAGATTATTGGGGTTGGCACTGTGGCATAGTGAGCAAAAGCCACCACCTGCAGTGCCGGCATCCCATATGGGCGCTGGTTCGAGTCCCGGCTGCTCCACTTCTAATCCAGCTCTCTGCTATGGCTGGGGAAAGCAGTAGAAGATGGCCCAGGTCCTTGGACCCCTGCACCCATGTGGGAGACCTGGAAGAAGCTCCTGGCATCGGATCAGCCCAGCTCCAGCTGTTGTGGCCATTAGGGGAGTGAACTAGTGGATGGAAGACCTCTCTCTCTCTCTCTCTCTGTCTGTGTAACTCTGTCTTTTCTTTTTTAAAAAAAGAGATTATTTTGGTGCAAAAAAGTGTGAAATCTTTGTTTTCCTTTTTTTTATAATATGTACTTTGTGCATAGACTTCCTAAAGACCTCACTCACCCACA